AAAGAGTAAGGATGACAACTTTGTGCAGCTCTGCCACACTTACATCCAGTTCATGTGCAAATCAAGACATCACTTTCCTCTTTGAAAACAAATGGTGAACAACAACAGATTATCTCTCTCTCTTAGTGTCTGTTACCATCCCTTTCCAGATTACCCTTAGCTCTATGTATCTGGTCCTAATCTCTTTCTAGAACTTCAGGTCCACAGCACCAGTTGCCTTCTGGACAGAATCTTTACCTGGATGTCCCATAAGTGTCTCAGATTTAGTGTATCTAAAGTGGACCTTGTTCTCTTTCCCTCCTTCACCAGCCCTCCTCCAGATTTTCCCGTTAATGGTGAAGGCCCTGTCAATCCTTCTGGTTAACCAGGTTCACAACTTTAGAGACATCCGCAATGCTACTTCCTCCCTTACCCTCATCGGTTGCCAAGTTTTATCAAGTCTCCTTTAACAGCTATCCCTTTTCTTTTCACTCACGGTGCTATGATTCTAGTTAATACTCTCATCACCTTTCACTAAGACTGTTAGAAGAGAATCTTAACTGGTCACTCTTCTTCCTTCTTCCCTTTCCTCTAATCTGTCCACCATATAGTTTCCAAATTAATATTCCCAAGGTGAGGTTTGACCTTGGCACTCGTCTGCTGAAAAATCTTCTTAAATAAAATAAAAATTATCTTAAATAAAAGACAGACTACTATAGCCTTCCGTGATATGGCTCCACATACCTTTGTAGACAATACAGATGAGTCCCTTTCACAAACTCCTCGTTCCAGCAAAGCTGGCCCACTAGATAAATATTCCACATTCAACTTCTTTGCCTTTGCCCAGACCGTCTTCCATGCCTATAATATATTCCCCTCATTTATCTTATCCCTTAGAATTCTTTGCTTCCTTCAAGGTTTAACTCAGGGATTACTTCCTAAAGGAAGTTTTTCCTGATTCCCCCAATCATTTGTGCTTCCCTCTCCTTAAATTATCTGGTATTTACTTACCCTGTCCATGTGGTTTCCCTCCAATGGAATATATGTTCCTGGAAGGCAGAGACTGTTTCTTTTTCTTCTTCTTTGTTATTTCTAGTACCTACTATGTGCTTTCCAGATAGCAGCCATTTCATTAATCTGTTCGATTCAATTGGAGCCAAGACTGGAGGATTTAAGGGACATGGTTTAGAACTATGGAGGAGGGTGAGGTTTTGTATAGGTCAGGGGGATAGCCAAGGCCAGAAAAGGCAACATGTGTGGAAGAAACAAATAGTAAGTTTTTTGGGCCAAATCAGAGAGTGGTCACCGTAGAAGTGAAGGACAATGAGAAGAGAATATAAGGATGCAGCATGTAACAGTGCAAAGAGTCAGAGGACCAGGGTTCAAATCCTACCTCTTTCACTCACTACCTATGGAATCTAGGCACTTCCCTGTGCCTTGTTTTCCTTATCTGTAAAATGAGAGGGTTTCACTAGATGACCTCTAAGGTCCTTTTCAACTCTAGAGATATGGTCCTATGATTCCGTGACAGGATCTTGAAATCATACTGAAATTTAGGTCCCCTCACCCGTCTTAGGGACACATCAAACCTAGCGTCCTCATTTTGAATTCTTTCTAGATCTCTGGGGCGCTACTTGCCTGTGGTGGAGAGAGGGTGGTAGAAGAGAGAGGAAGGAACACTTTTGGGGCCCTTCCCCCAAAGCTACCTCCCAGCCTTGATCAACTGCCCTAACTTAGAGCGAAGATGTCTTTCCTGATTCCCCCAGTCATTTATGCTTCCCTCTCCTTAAATTATCTGGTATAAAAGACAGATGGCGGTCTTTTGGGCCAATTGGCTGATATCTCCTAGGGAGGCAGGATGTCATGGTGGGGAAAGCCTGGCTCTGCAGTCAAACAATGTGGGTTCATGTTCCACCTTGATACTTAGGACTTGTGTGACCTTCAAATCACTCCTCATCTGCAAAATACAGGGGTTGGGCTAGGTGACCTCAGGTGTCTTGGAGCCAAGGCATGGGAGGGAGTATCTGGTTATCACAGCTGGGTTAGGGGGCAAGATGAGATGATTTCTAAGGTACTTTACAGCAGCCATCCTGAATCGTAGGAGACTCCAGGGGAATGACCTGTACAGAGAAAAAGAGAAGGCAAAGTATAGAAAAGCCTGTCCAACCAACCAGATTCCTATAAGCTGTTGGGACTGGCCACTAGCTTGGCTCTTCTGTTTTCTTCCTGAATCCAGGCATGATTGTGTGTGTGTGTGTGTGTGTGTGTGTGTGTGTGTGTGTGTGTGTGTGTGTGTGTGTGTGTCTGTTGATGACAAGGAAGTAGCAATTAGGTCTGAATGAAGCCTGCCATTCCCCAGAGACTAGTCAGCTACTTGCTCATCAATAATCACCTCAGAGATAGCTCACAAAGAAATGGGTCCAGTACAGGAACCACAGAACTTTCCTTGCTTCCCTAGGCTAGTGGATACCAGCTGATCAGATGGAGGGAGGAACCTAGGAGAGACTCAGTGTCCAGCCTGGCACCAGCAGTGGCACCATGTCCTGCCAAGCACTCAGCTGCCGTGTAGAAAGTCTTGCCTGGGGTCAGAGAGGGGAGGATAATTCCTAAAGTATTTTAATTCCTTTTCTCACCCACTTTATGAGCAAAGTTCATTTGGAATTTCCCCAAAGGGGCAAGTGGTTTGAGTTGTATCCTAATCCCAGATTTGGCATGGAGGGTAAGAGGGGAATTGTGGTGGGAGAAGCAGAAGTGTAGGAGAGAGGGATGAGGGCTGGGCAGAGCAACCTCGGTTCTCAGTTGCACAGTATAATTGGAAGCTCTGATCTGGGAAACAGAAGACCTGGGTTCTAGAATCACTTCAGCCATTAACTAGCGCGTATGGCCTTGGGCAGATCATTTCTCTCACTTCCCTTCTGTGGGACACCATTTTTTTTTGTCTGTAAAACAGTATTGGACTAAATCTTTCTCCAAAGTTTGTTTTAATTTCAGCATCCTCTAATATTCTGGAGACATAGATGCTGTGATTCTGGACACACAGTCCCTGAAATTGGGTTCTTACAGAGGAAAAGAACCTTAGAGATCATCCTCAAACCCCTTTGGAAAATATGGGAAAACCATCCTCCTTCCTTGCCTTCTCCTGCTCACCTCTGCCCCAGCTTTTCAACCTCTTTTTATGTATTGTTGTCATCCGTTAGATTGGGAGCCAGGGATTTTCTTTTCCTTTCTTTGTGTCCCCAGCACTTAACTTAGTGCCTGGCACATAGTAGGTGCTTAATAAATGTTTTCTGACTATTGGCCCCAGTGCCTTGGCTGTATTAGACATCAGACAACAGATCTAAAAGAAAGGGACCCCCAATCCCTCCAGTCCAATTCTGTTGGGTCTCCTGCATCATAGGAGCCAAGATCTAGAACTCAAATGGACCTGAGAGGTCCAGTCCAAGCCTCTCACTTTAGAAACGAGGGCCCAAAGCCCAGAAAGTAACTCTCCCAAGGTTTTGCAGAGAAGGGGTGGGGGGAGCTAGGATTTGAACTTGGGTCTGGTGATGCCAGGTCCCATTCTCCCAAGTTAGATGCTTTTCCCACGACTCCATGCTGTCTCTTTACGGAGCCAGGAAATATTTGACTGTATTTTCCACAGTCCCAGCATGTACTCAGGGTCCCGTGCCTACAATGAGGGCTGCAGGAGGAAGTAGCCAAAAAGGGGCAGGAAGAAGAAGGAGAGAAAGTGGGGAAATGGACACGGTTAGCACAGATTCTTCAAACTCTGAGGGCTCTTTTAACCTCACCATCTTCATTCCTGTCCTGTAGCTTTGGACAGAGCCTGGTCCTCCCCGCTTCCCATATGCTCTACTACACACACACACTCCTAGTAATGGCTATTAACACAGTGCTTTTATGGTCACAAAATGCTCTCAGGAATATTGCCTTATGTAGTTCTCACAACGTCATGAGGGAGGTCATAGGAAGTATACTCATCCCCATTTTACAGATGAGGAAGGTGAGGCTCAGAAGGTTAAAATGACTTGCCCCAAACCACTCAGCTAAAAGGGTAAAATCAAGCCAGCATTTGATTTCAGGCCTTCTGATTCTAGATGGTCAATACTTTAAGAGCCAGTGATTTTACTGGCTTCCCCCCCAAAAAAAAAACCCATGCCTTATTAGATGATTGTGTGAGCTGCCAAAGCTGAAAATTCCATCACCTAGTGGCCAAGGTCCTGATTGTAAACATCTCTCAACTTAGCTCAGGTAGTCCTTGGATCACAGACTCTTTTGAGCCCTTTTTCTCAAAGCTTTTCTAACTTAATGTAAGACCTACCCTAACTTTCAGTCCATTGGCATTGCCTTAAAACCCAGGGTCACCTCCATGTGATAGACAAGAAGGACTGCGGTACCATGTCATGGGCCAGAGTTTATTCAGGTCACTTAATCTCTTTGGACCTCGGGCTCCTCATTTGTAGAATGAAGGGTTTGTACTTGATGGCTTCTGAGGTTTCTTTCCATTCTAGATCTACGACCCCATTATTCCCATTGAGTGGTCAAGTGATGGATTAAGTGCAGGGGTGGCATAATACTAGACCGTGGGCTTTGAAAAATCGTGAAATTTTAGATATAGGCTGGGGTTCCAAGTTTGAGTCTTTTATTACTCTCACTGAAAACAATACCCTTAGACCTTGGGTGGGTGGGGGGAGACACAGAGTGGGGATGGGGGTAGGTAAGAATGAAGGTGGGGGTAAGGTAGAGACTTAAAGGCCTGAATTGGAGACATTGCTTTTGTGGGCTGGGGAAGGAGAGGGGCTGGTGTAAAGGACCAGATCATGAAGAAAAGCCTCAAGAATACCGCCTTTCCAAAGGCCTAAACAGTTGTGGGCAAGGCCCTTTATTGAGGCTGTTTCCAAAAGCCAAAGGAGGCTGAGTAGGTAGTAAGACAGGAATGTGGTCCCATCCTGCTCAGGAAGGTCTGAGAATGTGGGCCACCCCTCCTAAGCATCCTCCATTGAGCCAGGGCCTCTGTCCCATAGGTGTGAATGAGGTGGACTATAGCCTGTACCCCAGCCGGGAGACTCAACTTCGTTGGCTGAATTATTACCTGCAAGCCCACAAGCAGCTGTGCAAGGAAGGCTGGGGTGGGACAGCTGTGACGCCCAGGGAGGTGGAGAAGCTCTACGTACAAGTTAACAAGTTTGCTCTGGTGAGAGTCTACACCTTGGAGAGAAAGTAGGAAGCACTGGTCCCTAAGACTGACCACAGGTGTTATGGGAAACCTGGAATTGGGTGGCGGTGGGGTGGGAGAAAACAGGCCTAAAAGAAATGGGGTGGTAGACCTAGAACTCCCTAAACCCTGTCTAAGCTCTTCACCAAATGGAAAATTTGTAGCTGCTCCAGTCTGGAAAGTCATCAGGTCTATATACCTCTGCCTTTGGACAGCCCTGTTCCCACCTCATCTCCAAGAAGTCCGGTTGTCTCATTCCTTGGGAAAGTCTTCTAAGGAAGGGGATTCCTCAACAATATTCTTAACTACTGTTTTTAGGGAGGCCCTTGGGCATCCAGAAATATCATGGGATCCACAGAAGACAAAATTATTAGACCCAATGGGTAGAAGTTTGCCAGGACATGGATATCAGACGGGAGGGCCTGGGTCTGAATCCTGAGCCATCCCAGCTGATAGGTGTAGCACATGCTCTCAGGAGGGACCTGCTCTGTACACGCATGGCCTCAGCTAGACACTGTCCCCGTGGGATCACAGGATTTAGAACTGGAAAGGGCCTTTGAAATTTTACCCTCTCATTTTATAAATGAGAACTTAGATCGAGCAAAGTGAAATGAGTAAATACCAGAGCTAGGATTTGAATCCAGGTCCTTGCCGCTAAATTCGCTCTCTTTCCGTTACACAGTCCTCCTACCTGTCATCAGGAGAAATTTACCAGGCCTGAGCCGGAAAGACCTCAGGCCCAAACTGTTTGCTTCTCCCGGTCTGACTATGAGTCAGCCTTTGGTGTTTGTCTTGGGTTCTTAAAGGGTGGGATGCGGGGTAGGGAGGGGAGGAGGGGAGGAGGAACCACTCTGACCCTCTCCGATCCTTTCCCAGGCCTCTCACTTCTTCTGGGCATTCTGGGCTCTCATCCAGAACCAGTTCTCTACCATCGACTTTGACTTCCTTAGGTGAGTGGGCCGGGAACAAAAAGAGGTGGGGAGGAAGAAAGATGAGAAGAGAGGGTGTAGTAGGAGGGAAAGTCCCCTGGCCCAGGAGGGGTTGAACCAAGGGGCATCCATCCAGGAAGTGGTGACCTAATGGGCCACCTACTTACCATCCTGCCCCTTCCCCATCCAAATCCTTGGCCTCTGTTTCTCCATTTGTAAAATAAATTGCCCTTCTGAGCTCTGGGAAGACCTTAGGGGAGCGAGCCAATTGAGTTGGAACAATACTGACCTCCTCTATAATCCTCTCCTCTCCCCTTCTCTCTAGCCCCAGCGTTCTTCCTAAGAACCACCTAAGTCTTGGCAGGGAGTTCCCCAGCCAGCTCCCAAGCTGGTGAACAGAATCCTAGCATGGTAGCATATCAGAGCTCGAGGGAGCTTGGCTGTTTATGAAAGATCCTGGGGAAACTGAGGCCCTGAGAAAAGGGGAGTGACTTGCCCAAGATCACACAGTTAGTAAATAGCAGAGCCAAGATTCAAACCCAAGTAAGTTAACTTCAGATCCAGTACATTTCCATGCTGTTTCTTACAGAAGCTATTCATGGTCCTCTAATTCATTCCCGGGATTCAGCCCAGCTATCCTGAAACCCTGGCCATGTGCTTTTCCCATTGTATGACAGTGCTTCTTTGCAATGAGACTGTGAACCCTACCTTACCTCTCAAAACTCTAGGAGCTGCAGAATGGAGGGTAACAATCCCAGAGCTGCCATTTACCAGCTGAGTGGCCTTGGCTAAGTCATGTCACAAACTCATAGATTTAGGGCTGAAAAGGGGGCACTGAGAAAGCTGAGACCTAGAGAAACTCTGAAGCTGGGTTCTCTTTCCTCCATGTCATGCTGTTCCTTGATCTCTCTGGGCCTCAGTTCTGATTGGTGAAATAAAGAAGGATGTGCCAGATGATCTCTAAAGGTGTAAATTAACCTAAGTAGGTCCCAGTGCTCAAATCAGCCTCCATCCTCTCCCCCGGGGTGAAGAGTACTTCCAGTTGATGTTCAGAGGCAGGGTTTCCTCTACCCTCTTCCTATATTTCCTCCCAAGCCTGCCCATCCTTGGCTTGTGATATAGGGAGGGGAGAGGAAGAGGAAGAGGAAATGCTGCCAGGACCGAGAGTATGGGTAGTCAGTCTAGACAACTCCCAAGGGAACAGTACTCTAGGGAGGTTGTGGGAAAAGTGGAACTCTTTTTAATAGAACTTCTTTTATACATACATATGTACACACAGTGTACACACATATGTACCTACCCACATATATACATGCATAGGTATATACACATATGTATACACATATGTATAAAGACAGGTGTATGTATATACATATGTGCATGTATATGTGTGTGTGTGTATCTATTTCAGGTAGCACAGTAGATAGAGTGCCAGCCCTGGAGTCAGGAAGACTCCTCTTCATGAGTTCAAATGTGGCCTCGGACACTTACTAGCTGTGTGGCCCTGGGCAAGTCACTTAACCCTGTTTGTCTCAGTTTCCTCATCTGTAAAATGAGCTGGAGAAGGAAATGGCAAATCACTCCAATATCTCTGCCAAGAAAACCCCAAATGGGGTCACAAAGAGTCAGACATTACTGAAAATGACAAAACAAAATAGATGATGTATATGTGTGTGTGTATATGTGTGTGTGTGTGTGTGTGTGTGTGTGTGTGTATCACCCTATCTATATATCTCATTATCTTAATGTTTAATAATTCTGCTCTGGGTGTCCCATAGATGTATGTTTTCATGTAAGTCATATAAGTGTTACTAAAGTCTATGGGTGTGTGTGTGTGTGTGTGTGTGTGTGTGTGTGTGTGTGTGTGTGTGTGTGTGTGTATCACCCTATCTATATATCTCATTATCTTAATGTTTAATAATTCTGCTCTGGGTGTCCCATAGATGTATGTTTTCATGTAAGTCATATAAGTGTTACTAAAGTCTATGGGTGTGTGTGTGTGTGTGTGTGTGTGTGTGTGTGTGTGTGTGTGTTGGTGATGGCTCCAAGTATCCTTTGGGCAGTGCACACAAGGGGGCGCCATTTTCAAACCTTGATCAGTCCCTTATCCCAGCCCCATAGCTTCCACTTGCCATAAGATAGAGTGAGAAGGAACTGCCTCTCTCGTGGTTTTTTGTTGCTGTTGTTGTTGTTTTTTGTTTTGGTTTTTTGTGATAAGGAGCTCAGGCCTCAGAAAGGGCAAGTGACTAGCCTAGGATCCCACAAGAAGCCTGTATCAGAGGCAGGATTTGAACCCAAGGCCTCTGACCCCAAACCCAGAGCTCCTGGGACTTCCAGGGGCTTCTCTGAAAAGGGGCACTGAGAAGAGAAAGACTAAGTAACTTCGGTGAGACTTATTTTTACTTGTCTTGGAAAACCATCTGGAAAAACATACATTGCCCTCCTGACCTACTCCATGAACCTAGGGATCATGTGTTTCAGGGTTCATAAAATTCTTTCTTCACAACCCCAAGAGGGAGGCAGTACTTGTATTATGGTTTCCATTTTACGGATGAGGAGACTGAGGATTGCATGAAATGATTTGTATCCCCAAGGACTTATTTATGTCCCCAGGACATAAGAAATTACCTGGCACATAGTAAGCATTTAATAAATGCTTTAATTAACTAGTAAATTTCAGAGTTGGGATTTGAACCCTCCTTCTATCGATTCCAAGTCCAGAATTCTTAAGACTGTGCTAAGCTACCTGACACCCTCCCTAAGCTTACCCCACCTCATAGTGCTAAGCCATAGACTGGAGCTGGCAATTGTAAAATGATGCTGTTTTAATCAAACCTCTGATAATGAAGGAATGCTCATGGTAACATGAGGGCCCATGGTTCTGGGATCCCCTTGATTTCCTCCCTGATACTGGCCCCTGCTCCCTGTCTCCTGGCAGATATGCGGTGATCAGATTCAACCAGTACTTCAAGGTGAAGCCTCAGGTGTCGGCCTTGGAGATGCCAAAGTGACCGGCCTCCTGCCCTGTCCGCCCAGCCAGACCTGCTCTCCTCAGGGCCCCTGCTTGACTCTGGGGCCCGTGCCTAAAGGGCCAGAGCAAGAGAGGGATGCAGGTGGGGTCTCTCCAGTGGGGCAGTGAAGCCCATGCCCTGTGCCGCCGGCCCCAAATTAAAGCCGCTGTAGACCTCGCTCCTCCCCTGTCTGGCTTCAGCCTCTGGGACTGATGGGACCAGCTCAGGGTACCCTTCCCCTTCACCCTCCCTTTCCCAAACTTGGTGGGGGGAAGGGGAGTGCCTGCAGAGTACCAGGGATGACCAACCTTTTAGGACAGGGACCAAGGCAACCGATGGGAACCAGTGGGAAGCCCAGGAACACTCCCAATATCACCCTACCCTCATGCCTCTTTGCCATCAGGGGTGCCTTATTTGTGTAATGGACCCTTCTCAGCTTGGGTAGAGCGTCAAAAGGGCTCCTTTTCACCTCCAATGCCCGTAGATTCTCTAACTAACCCTTCACTCCCCTATTTTTCCCAAGCAGAAAGTGAAGAGCTCCCCAGCAAGTAGCCCCAATACACCATGTGTATGGGCGTATATGGCTTGGATGAGGGGACCCAGGTTAGGAATGCCCCCCCCCCAGCAGCCTTATTGGATTCCCTGGCACTGCTTCCACTCTCACTTTCTCCAGGCACCATTACTGGCTCCTAACCTCACCCCACCTCCAACCCAGTTTCACTATTCCCTACTCAGGTCCTGGGGTCTGTGTTCTCTACCCTTTGGCCAGCTTCTGCTACCTAGAGAAGGCCTAGTGATTAGAGTGCTGTCATGACACTTGGGATTGCCTGGGGGAATTATGGGGTGCTGTTAGCCAAAGCCTAGGTCAGTGAGTCTCACTGACCTTGATCCTTCCACCCACAGCCCCCCACCCCAAGATGCCTACCTAACCTCGTATTTCTCTTGCATATACTGGGCCTGAATTAGAGGACCCTCTTACTCTGAGGGTCAGTCCTGGGCAGCAGGGAGAAAGGGGACATATCCCAAGAAGCAGAGGCCCCAGGAGGGCCAGGGAATGGTTGGGCCCCCTGGTTAGGACCTAGCCTGGACATAGGTAGGGATTGTCCTGACCTCCTGAGTTCCTTCACCAACCACCACTCACCCTTAGACAGCAATTCAATCTCTCCCCAGCCTCCTTCCTGACCCCAGGGCTTCTTTAGGGTCGGGGGAACCCTTCTCAGCTCTGGCACATGAAACAAACTTTGAGATTCCAATTATTGTGGTTTTGTTCTCCATTAAAATGGCCGCTTCTGGTTTCTGGTGCTGCTCACTCTTGGTCTGAGGGGTCATTCTGTTGGCATGGTTAGTTTGGGTCAGAGAAGGGCCATCATGGTTCTTAAGTTGTGGGGCTGCCAACTCAACTCCCCTTTGGGTGGGGAGGGGAACACTGAGGGATACCTAAAAGTCTGGGGAATCGTGAGTGCTGGTAGAGATCATGGCTTATTCTTATTACCAAAATATCATTTCACTCATCTATGCTGAGCCCAGCCATCAGAGGGAAGTCAAGCCAAGCCCTTATAGAACCAGTCTACCTCAGTGGACTTAGGTGGCTGGCAGAATGGCTTACCCCACTCTACAGTGCTGAACCAGAGTGGAGTATCTCAGTTGACAAGGCTGGCTGCCATGAATACTTGATGTGGATTTGGTTAAATCTTTAATGGGGGGGGGGAGCCAGGCTTGGTGCTGAGATCCAGGTGCATGATTAAAACTCTCAGAAGCTACAAGGAACTCGGGAGACTGTTCTGTCCAGTGGTTCTCAAAGGGCACAGGAGTATGCTTGCATTCTCCAGAGGTGTGTCAGGAATTGCACTCACATGCAGATGTCTCCTGTAGCGTGACAATCCATTATAGTAAAAACCAATAACGGATTGTGAACACAAAAAGTGTGAGAACCATTAGTCTAATTGATAGGTGGGGATTGATACCTCCTCTATGGTATTGCTGGCAAGTGGTTGCTCAACTTTTTGCTCAAAGACTTTTTGTAATGGGAAACCCGATGCCTCAGAGGCGGTCATTTCTGCTCTTGGCTATCCGAGAGAATTCCAAACTTCTAAGAGTTTGGAAATTTTTTCCTTACATGGAGTAAAACTCTGCCTCTCCACCATTTTCACGGATTGTACCCAGTTCTGTCTTCTGAGGCCAAGCAGAGCAACTCTGATCCGTCTGTGATGAAACAGCCCTTCAAGTGAAGATGACCATTGTGTTCCTGAGTTTTTCCTAGGCCACAGCCTTAGTTTCTTCTTATGATGCTCGTAGAATAGGATCTCAAAGCCTTCAACCACCCTTCTTTAACCCTCTTGACCATTTTAGTGTCTTTCCTGAAAGACTATTGGCTGTTCCACCAGGAAGGAAAGGGGCTTCCCCTGCAGCAGCGGAAATTGAAGTGACATCTGGTGGCACCTCCAACGTTGCAGAAGGAGGAAGTTGTTGAGATGGCAATCGGGGGATGGCAGTGGTTGTCCGTCTCCCTTCTCAGAAGTGGCTCGCTTCCTCCTAGCTATTCTGCCTGGTGACAGGGAGATGGACAGATGACCTCTGGATGGCCCTTCTGGCCCTGGAGTCCAGCCATCACTTTTTCTAGACACTTGGCTCCTCCTCCCTGAGACCAGGAGGATAAGAGAGCAATAGCTTGCAAGCTAAAGCAGGGGGCAGAGAGAAGCCTTCTTTTGGGATGGCTCCCTTCCTACCAAGTTCTCTCCACCCTCCTCCACTGATGTTACCCTCTTGGCCAAGAGTAGCTGCTTCTAGGACACCAGGAAGGTGCCCGCTCTCCCGCCCGCCCCTTCCCTGAGGCAGCAGCAGCCACCTGTCTGGTGGACTCTGACTGTTTGGCTTCTTCGTAAAAATACCAGGAGCACCATGGCAACTGCTGGTGACGTCACCCAGCAGCTGGGGCCTTCTTAAAGGTCACAGTGATTGGGGAGCAGCAGGACTGCAGTTCCCAAAAGGCAGCATTTCCTGGTATGAGCCCCAGCACTGAGGTCAAATAGATGCTTGTAGGGTCCACTGGGGATTGAGATGAGCGCCGAGGTGGTGCCAGAAATTCTCCCAATCCTTTACTTAGCCTGGCTGTGCCTTCCCCAGAACCAGTCAGTCAGATCCAAGCAGCCCATTAGCGGAGTGAGCCTTGGCCTGGACTTCCTTTTTCTCCAGGCCGAGAAGCCATGCTGCTATCTCTGTTCCTATCAGGAGCCCACCTCCAGCTGCCTCCTACCTCCCTCCAGCAGCTTCTCTTCCTGACTCCCAAGGGACCAACATTTCCAAGATAAGGCAACATGGAGCAAGGGTTTGTGGTAGCAGCTAAGGCAAGTTTCCTCAGGATTACTCATCAAAAGCCAAATACCACCTCTAGCAATGAAGGAGTTAACCATTTATGTAACCTGATGGACACTATTCCACTCCCTTCTTTGAGAGGGGAAAAGAAAAAGAAAAAAAAAAAGCATTCCCAGAATCAGCCTAGGAGTTAGGCAAGCCCCAGGATGAGGGTACCCATTGGAGATGGAATGGATCCTACCCACCCAGTCTTGGGGCCTCATACCCTTTCATTCTATATCTCCCCCCACCCTCTACCCCCCACCAGTTTCTTCCTTCCAAATTAACCACATCCAGGTATAATAATAACTAGCATTTATACAGCTCTTGAAAACTTGCAAAACACTTTGAAAACATTATCACAACAACCCCAGGAGAGGTAGAAGCTATTATTATCCCCATTTTACAGATGATGACACTGAGGCAGTCAGCAGTTAAGTGACTTTTTAGGATCACACAGCGTCTGCAGCTGGATTTGAACTTAGGTCTTCCTGGCTAGGTCCTGAGCTCTACCAATGCACTACATAGCTGGTTCTGGCTCCACTTAGCTGCCCAGGTCCAGGCTGTAGTTGTAGCCCAAATATAGGAGGAACCCAAGGAGAAGGCTGTGAGTTAGCCATTGCTACTCTCTCTGGCTGGGATCAGTGACTGAAATCCAGGAGACTTTCATCTCCCACCTTCCCCCATTCAGGGAGCCTATGGGGGTAAGGGAGTGGGCTGTGGGCAGTGGTAAAGGGCTCTACTGTATAGTAATTGTACCAAAGCATTTAGGGTCATTGTTTCCATGAAGACACACCTGAGACTGAGCTAAAAGCTCTCATTTTAATAGGATTCAGTCCAAATAGTTATGCCTCCTTTTGTACAAAATTCCTACTTAAGGCTGTGGTGGGGTCAAGGTGAATCATTTCCCAGTGGGCCTCTGGCAGTTCACTCCTTAACATGGAGCAGCCAAAACAAGGGCTCAAATGCAGGTAGTCTTGACTAATGAGCCCTGCCATGCCCAGCCCCTCCCTCTCACCCTTTAGGGGACAGCTTCTCCTTACCTGGAATCCATTCCCACATCTTTTAAGGCAGAGTAAGAGTGTGTGAAGAGGAACATGAGCCCCAAGAAGCTATAGAAAGGTGATGCACGTGAAATCAGCTGCTCACCCCAAGGGCTCCGGGACCCTCTAAGGGAATGGCCAGTGACCTCGTGCCAAACGGAGGCAAGTCTGGCATAACCCAGGGGTCTGGGTCAATTTCAGAGGCTGGATGGGGAGCGGATTGAAGCAGGGCCCTGGGGGCAGAGGAGACGGAAGACTACAAAGCAGGTACCTGCTTTGGGTCGGAGACCAGAGAGCCAGCAGGCAGCTTGATGGGGGATGGCTGGAAACAGATCTAAGCAGCAATTTCCTACTAGGGCACCAGAGGGCGGAAATCGCAGCTGTTTATTCTTTCAATTTCGCTGGTTAAGGAGGCCGACTTCAACCTTCTGTGCTGCCCAGGCTCAGGGCCACCCAGGGCCACAAGTCAAGCAGGGAACCAAAGGAGGGGCGTTCCAGACAGACTCTGGCCATCCCCATGCCTCCGCCAGGCAACCACAGTTTGCAAAGGTGGTCAAGACCTTGGAGAACTTCCAGGCCAACCCCATCATTTTACAAAAACTGCCTCAGAGAGGCTGCCCACGATCACACAGTGGGTGGTAGAGCTGGGACTCAGACCCAGGCTTCTCACTCTTTCCCCAACCACACCCCCCAACTCCTTAATGCAGGAACCAACTTCTTAGTGATCTAATTTTAGAACCTAGAAGGGAACTTACAGATCATCTAGTCTAGCCTCCCACCTAGAGTAGGCTCTTGCCCTTTATATTCCTGGAAGATGTAGTCAGTATTTGAACACTTTCAGTGATGGAGAGCTCACTACCTGATGTGACTGGTGATACCACTGTCGGGACAACTGTTAGAAACTGTTCCTTATATTAAACCGAAACCTTGTTTCCCAGTAACTTCCACCCCTCTGATCCTGGTTCTTTCTGGTGCTTCACAGGATAAATCCCTCTGCTTCCTCTCTAAAGACAGTACTCATGCTCCCGGGGTAGCCAGGTGGCACAGAGGAAAGACAGCCAGGCCTAGAGTCAGGAGGACTCAAGTTCAAATCCAGCCTCAGACACTTCCCAGCTGTGTGACCCTGGGCAGATCACTTAACCCTGCTTGCCTCAGTGTCCTCATCTATAAAAAAGAGCTAGAGAAGGAAATGACAAACCACTCCAGTATCTCTGCTAACAAAACCCCAAATGGGGTCTCGGAGAGTTGGTCGTGACTGAAATGACTTAACAACAAACAACAGTTCGTGCTCCCCAAGTCTTGAACATCTCTAGTTCTTCCAGATAGTTCTCATCACAACTCAGTTCCTCGATGCTTCCACCTAGCCCTGGATGTGCTGGTTCATCAACGTCTCTCTTCAAATATGGTGCCCAGAACTGAATACAGAATTCCAGCTGTGGAGCGCACAATGAGAGGATTACTTTCCCAGTTCTGAACTCGTTCGTTCTTAATGAAGCCAAGATCACATTCATTTTTCTGGCTGCTACATCATACTGTTGGCTCTTATTCAGTTTGCTATCAATTAATTCCCTAGGTCTTTTTTATGCCGTTAAGCCAATTACACCCCACTCTATATTTGTAGTTTTTTTTTTTTAACCCTAGTGCCCTAAGCATGTTGTAGAGGAAAGCACAATGGCCCTGGAATCATTGGTTCATGGTAGAACCACTGAATCCAATCCCGTAGTCACATGATAGGTGAGGAAACTGATGCCCGGACATTGGCCGAGGGACATGTAGCTCAGGAAGTGTGTGAAGTGAGATCTGAACTTGGGTCTTGCTGATTCCAAGTCCAGCACCATGTCCAGTAGTACTTGGTACTCAGGTCTCAAGAGATCTTAGTTCAAATGCTGCTTATGTGACTATGAGGAAGTCGCCATTTTTTTTTTGTGCCTTGTTTACTCATCTGTAAAATGAGTTCCAGTGCTTTTATTACCCACCTAACACAGTTGATGGGAGGAAAGCATTTTTTAAACTTTCAGATGCTATAGAAATATGAATAATCCCAGTTAAATTTCATCTTGTTTCATTCTTCTAGGCTATCCCAGTTCAGGCCATCTGAAAATTTGGTAAATATGCCACATGTTGTTTCATCTAAGTTAGTGATGATTTTGAACCAGGACACTGGAGTATAGAGCATTGTGGCACACCACTAGAGACATCCCTCCAGGTTGGCATTGACCCATTAATCCATGCTTTGCAGTCATTCAACCAGCTACAAATCGACCCATCCAGCCAGCACCCTCCCACCCTGCTTTGTCATTTTAACTGCAAGATTCCCACTCCTGTCCAATGACCATTAACTCTCCCATGACTCAGTAAGCATAAACTCTCAGGTCTATATCAGAACATAAAAATGTTACGAGCAAGGAGACTCTTTAGAACTCATAGGATCATCAACTTCAGGCTTGAGAAGGATTTTATAAATAGGTGCTTGAATCTAAACTGTTCATTTTACAGATTAGGAAACTGAGACCCAGATAAGCAACTTGATCAAGGTCACAAAGCTAGTGCTTAGGAGTAACAAGGCAGGGAATAGAACCCAAGTGTCCTGAATTTCAGCTCTTTCTATATACAATTTGCTCCTGATCTAGGAGTCCTCTGGAGTGAACTCTGGTGGTAGTAGTGGTTTGGGAGGGGAATATTTGCCTTTTCTTTATAGGAACTGGTTTTGTTATGCTAATACTCTGAAGGCTCTTTTCTTGGGTCACTACTAATCTTAAAGTTCTGGTTAACTGTCACCAGGTCACCCATGGTGCCTGTGTTTGGTTTCCCCAAGGATGACCCTCATTTTTCCCATTCCATCTCTGTGCCAGGGCAAGGATCCAAAATGTTCTCTCTTTATTGTGCCAACCGGAAAAAAAAATCCCAGATTGTAAACAGGTCAGGAGAAATATACAGGTTAAGTTGCTCATCATCTTATTAACAAAATAAAGCCCTATCTATGTTTACAGTTGTAAAAAAAGGAATAACCCTGGAGAGACATGGGGACTTAGGAAAGGGGCTGAGGTGGGGAACGGGGGTGGATGGGACAAAGGGTAGGCTTGGTTTCCACATCTGTCCCAGCTGGATTAAGTCCCCTCCTCCTGACCCCAGAGCTCTCTCCCTGCCCCCCTCAGTGTTTTTCTCCAATGGGATGTGACTTTCTTGGGGGTGGAAATAAATAAATAAAATGAGAGACTGATCATGGGCAAAGTCAAGGCCCCTAGCCAAGGGGTGGGGTCAATGGCAAGGGGGTGGAGGTTGAGTGTGGAGAAAGGAATAGGGAAGGACAGTAGCCAAGGGAAAGAAGGGGAGGGAAAGGGCAACTGAGGCTCCTCACCCCCCCCCCGCAAATAAACAAAGTGACTCACACACATACATACCCTTCCCTTCCAGGGCCAGCAAGGCCAGCCAGTGCTGGAAGTAGCCTCGGCCACCTTAGGCAATCTTTGATGCCCATCATTCCAACCTTGTCCAAACTGACCTTGTCTATCAGGCAGGGCCAAGACTAGATGACTCAGGTAGTCAGTCTCTCCTAGCACCTGCCTTTCTGGCCTCAGCCGCTTTCCCCAGATCCCAGCTTCCAGGGCACTGGAGAAGGTCCCATTTCCCTTCCCCCCACTCCCCTCTGCTGGGAACCAGGGCCTAAGTTGGGCAGCCTAGGGCTAGGGGGCTGGGTAGCCCCTTGGAGAGAGGCTGAGTTCTCATGCGTCTCAGAGCTAAAAATGGCTCCGTGGGAATTGACTGGCAGTCAGTGAACAGGAGAGGGAAGAGGTCAGGGTGGCTGACAGCTCCAGACACTGAGACCCAAAGACACACTGAGATGGCCAGACACAGAGGGTGGCTCCAGAAGGGTCGGGGCATCCTGCCAGGGAGGAGCAAATCGATAGGGAAACAGATACCCAGGACAGAGAGACAGAAACACACAAAAAGAAGGAGAACCTGAGACCCACAGAGAGCTACAGAAAGGCAAAGAGTCTAATGAGGCTCACTGACAGAGAGATCCAGAGTCAGAAAAGTAGGAGAGGCGCAGAAAGAAGCCTCCCCTCAGGAATCCTGAGACGCAGGAATCCCCCAGAATGGGGACACACAAGCCACATGTGCATGTGCATGTGCACGCGCACACACACACACACACACACACACACACACGCACACCCCTACACTAACACGTCCACTCACATACACACGCAGGCTGGATACACCAAGACAATCTAGTGGGAAGGAATGAGGGTATGAAGAAGTCAAGAGGAAAGGCAGACGGAGGATGAGACACTCACACCCAGCCTGGGCTCATTCACACCAAGCACACACAGACCCTGGGAAGAGACCTACCTATGGGGGTCGGGAAAGAAAGCCCCGCAGGAAGCTGATGTAGAATGAACGAGGAGGTGTGCTACTACCCCAGACGTGGGGCGTGAATAGAGTGGAGGGTAGGGAGCAGATGGATAAAATGGACTCGCAAAATATACACCACCCTCCTGGCTGATCAAGGGAGATGAGAAAAGAGGGTATGGGGAGGGGGCTGCAGCCACCAGGACCCCAAATAGGGAGGGAGTAGAGGGTGCTAGTCATACAATAACCTCCTAGGTGTGACTGTCCGGGGACTTGTGGCATCACTTGGTTGACCATAGGAAGCTGGGCCAGACTATGAAGCTTCCCTTTTCTAGGAACTCAGGTGCCCCCCTGTTTTCCTAAAGTCCACACCAATTCCATTGGCTCTGAAGCCCCCGAGAGAGGATGCCTACTCCCAGGCCAAACATCCTGGAGTAGGATTCAACCTGATCCATTTCCCCTGCATAGATGTATGTACATATGCACAGCTGTGCCCATCTCCCGGACACACCCCCGTCAAGGTACCTACACAGTCCAAGTCTTCTGGTGGTGCCCGATAGGGTCAGGGGACAAGCCCTTGTTAGCCCCCTCCCTCCCCCTTTAAAGATATGCCTGGGGGAAGCAAGAGGGCATGAGCCCCTGAGCCCAGCTCAGTCTGTAAGCACCACCAGCTCTCCATCACTCTTCTCCTCAACTTCGGAATCTTCTTCCTCACTGTACCGGAACATCTCCCCATCGGCTACAGAGTGCCCGTCTTCAGCTCCCTCGCTCTCCTCCTTAAGGCTTCGGGTATTGACAATGATAGGCATGCTGGGGTCCAGGCTCCGGGGCACGTAGTGCTCCAGAAGGGGCTGTGCCAGTGGCATTCCAGGTGCCCTGGGGTACAGGACATCTGGGGAGCTCATCTGCATCTGATTGCCTGGTGGGCTGGGGAGCAGGAGGAAAAATGGGGGTATTAGTATTGCTCCCCCAAGCTGCACAGATACACCCTGATCTCTCTACTCCCAATCCCAGTCCCAATCCTACAGTCTCTCCCAGATCCTATTGAGTGGGGAGAACCAAAAACATTGGAAAGATTATACCTCCAATTCCACGACACTCACTAAGGTGGGGAAATGGGATGGAGGACAAGGGCATAGACATGAATGTGCATGATGTCACTTCTCCCTCCTTCCCCACTCCCAACTACACACACACTCCACAGGACTAGAAATCTAGCTCTGAAAGGGCCCTTAGAGGTCACCTAACCCAATCCCTTTGGTTTCAATGAGGAAACTGAGTTCTAGGAAGTTAAGTCACTTGCCCAGTCATACAGATAGTAAAGCATTAAAGGCAGGATTGAAGTCACCTCCTCTTGACTTCAAAAGCACTGTTCTTTCTACCATGGATTCCTATATAAGACTCAAGATTTCTAAGCTCACTACTGCCTGATCTTTTGATTAGCTGAACCTAAGAGCAGTCATATATGAACAGGGAAAGGAGGGCTGGCTACGTAGCTACTCACGTGCTTACTTCTAGGCAGTCATATGGGTCTAGCTCACTTTCACATCATACTTATGTTCTCCAAGAGTTGTGTGTGAATCTATTTGAGTAGTCATATCATATTTTAGATGTGCCAAAGCATTTCTACTTAAAGGAACCATAGTGAGAAATCCTTTGTAAAAGGAAGACTCTATAAGGACCACCATCACCCCAAAGTCATATTATTAGGCTAATTAATACGTTTGCATTTGATTCTGCTCCAGAGGATGTGGCCATGCATGGCTAATCCCTGTGTGTCTGCCACATGCCTGTACGATAACATACAGTCAGATGGAAAGACAAATGACACAATCAGGTTATAGTTACCTATGTACTGTCATCCATACTCACAGTGACAAATGTACAGTCACAGATGAGCAGGGGTCTGCTGGAGCCAGTTCTAACCAGCCCTTAGCTCTTGAGAGCTGATGGTTAAATTTTCAGCGTATTTACACTTCAGAAATCAGCAAATTCTGCAAAAAATTTTTTTAAGGCAATTGGAGTTAAGTGACTTGCCCAGGGTCACGCAGCTAGTAAGTGTCAAGTGTTTGGTCTGAGGCTAGATTTGAACTCAGGTCCTTCTCTTCTGACTTCAGGGCCGGTGCTCTATCCACTGTGCCACCTAGTTTGATTTATTGTTTTGTTGATTGAATATACTTGGAAATAATGGAGAAAATATTAATGTGGATTAATTTTTAAAATGTGTCATGCATATTTTGGGGGGTGCAGGGTAGGGAGAGAGAGCCAGTTGTTAAAACTTTTACCAGCACATGTCAGACATAGTCATACATAGCATGACATGGTAGAAAGGAACCTTGAAGGTCACCTACTTCAATCCTTTCATTTTACTTTCTTTTTTTGTAAATAGTATTTTATTTTTTTTATTCTGTAAAGATAGTTTTCAACATTCATTTTTATAAGATTTTGAGTTCCAAATTTTTCTCCCTCCCTCCTTCCCTTCCCCCCTCCCTAAGACAGCAAGCAATATATGATATAGGTTATACATGTGCAATCATGGAAACATATTTCCACATTAGTCATGTTGTGAAAGAAGAAACAAAACAAAAAGGAAAAGCCACAAAAAAAAGGGAAAATAATATGCTTCGATCTGCATTCAGACTCCACAGCTTTTTCTCTAGATGTGGATACCATTTTCCATCATGAGTCTTTGGGAATTGTCTTGGATCATCGTATGCTGAGAAGAGCTACATTGATCATATCAACCCCTTCATTTTATAAATGAGGAAACTGAAACCTAGTTTTTCCTGGCTCTAGAGTAAGAGGACCTGGATTCAAATCCTCCTTCTTCAATTTATAACCCATGTGATCCTGGGCAAATTACTTCCTCTTTCTGGGCCTCAGTTTACCCAAGTGCAAAACTAGGGGAGTGAACTAGGTAATTCTGAAGGTTTCTTTTAGCTAGCTAGGACCTTGGTGACTCTTTTAGCTTGAAATCTGTGGGCCGACTCCCCAGTCACCCCGCCCCATTTACACCTGCTCAGACACGGTAGAGCGGACAATCCCATTCCCCTCTTTCCTGGATCACCCAGTGGGCCAGAGAGGGGAAGGAATCAAGGGGCAGAGATGCGGGAGGCTCACGGGATAACGTAATTCTGCCTCGCGTCCTGGCGTCGGTTCCTCATCAGAGCCTTGTACTCTCCCACCCGTAATCGCTTGCCCTCCACGATGCACGTGCGCTTGGGCCGAGGCTTATATTTATAGTCAGGATACTTCTCCAGGTGCTGACGGCTCAGCCGTGCCTGTTCCTCATAGTACGGCTGCTTTTCCTGGTTTGTCATGGACTTCCAGCGGGAACCTAGCACCCAGATCCTGGTATCAGTCCCAGCAGCCCCATCTAAGCCCAACCCTGACCCCACCCTCCTACCCCATCTCCCCACACTACAGGTGGGTAGAGTCCAGTATGGGGGCAGCTAGGTGGGGCAGTGGAGCGCGGGGCCTGGAGTCAGGAAGACTCAAGTGCCTGAGTTCAAATCCAGCCTCAGACATTTACTTGCTGTGTGACCCTGGGCAAGTCACTTAGCCCTGTTTGCCTCAGTTTCCACATCTATAAAAGAGAGAAGGAAATAGCAAACCACTCCAGTATCTTTGCCAAGAAAACTCCAAATGGGGCCATGAAGAGTCAGACATGACTGAACGACAACAGTAACAACATAGTCCAGTGATGGACTTCCACAGTCATACTGGATTCTCTATGGGCACCTGAATAGAGGCAATAAGAGGTGCCCAGCTAGAAGGGCCAGTGCCCACTCCATGACTTACAAGGCTGAAACCTCATCAGTAAGGCTTATATATGAAATGAGCACATACATATAAAGACTGGTCCAGGCAAGGGCAGGTCACATCAGCCTCGATGTACAGGACAGTGGCACTGTCTCATGGGATATTCAGGGTACCCATCCATGAATGCTATTGGTAATTAAGGTTAAGGTAGGTGACCTTATTATTTTCATTTAAAGATGAGGAAACTGAGGTTTAAGTGATTTGCCCAGGGTCTCACTGTTGAGTGAGGTCTAAGGCTGGATTTGAACACAGCACTTTCTGAGTTCAAGTCCAGTGCTTTCTATCCACTGTACCATCTACCTGCCTCATTCGGGCATCTTTCCTACACAAGTGAATATCTCATACACTCTGCCAGATCCCACCAGAGTCAACAAATCCCCTTTCAAAGTGAGACACGTCTAGGTCGTGCCCCCAAATGTGGTGCATCCAGCAAACAAACCACCTAATAGGAAGGAAGCCCATGCCCTGCACCAGGCACTCCCCAAGTCTGCTCACCGAGAATCTTGCTGATACTGGAGTTATGCATGTCAGGACAGGCCTGGAGGATCTTTCGCCGTTCATCCTTGGCCCACACCATGAAGGCATTCATGGGCCTCTTAATGTGATTGTTGTTCCGGGACTCAGGGAAGTGTCGGGAACCTAGTAGGGGGTGGGGTGGGGTAGAAACAAGAGATGCTCTACCTTTGTATGCCCAGAGATGGGGGTGGAGAGAGATGGGGGAATGGGCTGCTTGAGGAGGAAGTGGCTTCCCTGTCACTGGAGGACTTTGAGTGGAGATTGGAGGGTGACTAGTAAGGGATATTGGAGAGGGAATAGTCCCACTCAGGAAGGGCTGGTCCAACCCCTGATGTCTCTTCCAACTCCCAAAGTGCATATTTCTAAAGGGTCCCCTTGCCTCTTCTTTTAACTAAGTAATTTGGGGGAGACAGACTCCCCACCCTCATCTCCCTCACAACCAGGTCTCTGGCCATGAGTAAGATCAATAGGGACTCAAAAGTCTTGAGATTCTGGTCTTTAAGAGCCCCAACCATGGCAGTATAGGAGGAGAGGGCAAAAAGGAAGAGACAATGAATCAAAAATGGTTGGTTTGGGGAGGACATACACAACATGTTGTTAAGATCCACACACACATCAGAGACAGAGGGGAGAACACTGAGATGACAGAAAAGGAGAGAAACAAAGAAACCACCAGCAGATGGACAGAGACAACAGAAACAGCGGAGATACAGAGACGGCGCCAATCCCAGACCCACCCTCTGCTGCCTTTACATCCCAGGCATCATCTGGGGACTCCACCAGGAAATGACTGGGGATGAGAACTCCCCAATCCCCTGGTAACCTGGGGGACCATACCATCCATGTCACAGCTCAGCATGGTCTCATCTAGCTGGTGCCCACAGCTCTCCTCCAGCCGATCCTTGGCTGGGGATGACTCAAGGTTGATGAGGTCCTAGGGGTGCAGAGAAGGTACAGTGGGGGCATTGCCCGTCACTTCAGCAATCCCCCCATCACTTCCAACCCTTAAGACCCTGTCTCATTCCCTGGCAGAACCTTTACTTTTTTCTCTTGTCTTCCTCCCAGAGATAGAGACTAGACCTGTGATTTTATTGGTATAGGGAAGTCCCAGATCAGTAAACTACCTTGACCTTAGTCATCAACCTCTAAGCAAGTAATGGGCATTGAGATTACCCAAGGCAGAGAGAAGTTATATAATTTGTCAAAGGTCACCAATAAAGGTAAGAGGTGGAACTTGAACCCAGGTCTTTTGACTTTGAGGCCAGCTCTCTATACACTACATTACTTTGTTTTCCTCCTTAATTATCCTTTAATCCTCAAATCAAAATAGTCAAGTACCTGCACCCAACGGATCCCTCTGCTATTCTGTGTGCCCTGGGAGCCAGAAATCCTTACCTTCCTGTAAGAGGCATTAGGAGAGCTCTCAATGGGTCCACTGTGGCCATGCAGCAGCTGCCGGGCATCCTGGATTGCTTTGGTGATGGCATCGCCCTCACCCAGAAAGCCTTCAGTGGAGGAGAAGAGAGAAGGAGAGCAGAGCTGAGATCAGCAAACATGGAACCTTCCCTTAGAGAAGCAAGCCTCCTTCTTCAGCCTTTGCCACATTCTCCTCTCCCTAGCCTTGGAAATTCTCCCCTGCCAGGATAGAGGGACATCTGGGACTCTCCCAGCTTTGGGAAGTGGCATCCTATGGAGAGGGTGGTCTTGATGACAAAGAGACTCAGGGAATGTCAAGTCAATTTTGCAGGTAAAAATATTGAAACCCAGAAAAAATGAAATGACTTGTCCAAGGTCACACAATTATTGTCATTAATCACTAAATATTGTTAAATATCTAATAATAGGGAATGATTTATTATTATCAGATACAATAGCTACTAAGAGTGCAATAATAGCTAACCTTTATACAGTGCTTCTAAGGTTTCAAATCACTTTATACATTTTTATTACCATTTGGTGCTTATAACAGTTAGCAGAGTTCAAGCCTACTTCCTGCCAGGCCAGTGTACTTTCCCTTGTGTTATCCTACTTTCAATCCCTGGAATATGGGACAGATGAGAAAGTGGCAAGTGGGGTGAATGGAGAGGTAGGGGTGTAAGGCAGAGAGCATACCTAGGGGTAGACTGGGTGGGCTGGCCTGGAGGTCCCGGGTAGGAGCCCCATGGTTGGCTGGGAGGGGACCACAGGTGCTTATCTTCAGGTTGGGGGAGCTGGAGGTGTTGGGCAGCTCTGGACCTTTGGGCTTGGCTGTCAAGTTCAGAGGCTGTGAAGACTCCTAGGGGAAACCAAGACAGAAACAGAGAGGAAGGGGGTGAATAACCCAGAGACAGACAGAAATCTGGCTGGGGAGAGACACACTGGGATCAAAAGGACAGATTCGGCTATGTAGACAGAAAGACAGTGAGATGGGCATCGAGTAACACAGAGATAGAGATGGATAGCACATGAGTGATAACATGTATGTGCCTAAAGGTGGAGCTGTCAGAAGAGTGTAGACAGTAAGGTTAAGGGATTCAAACGTAAATAAATGACTATAGCTGACTGAATCTTCCCAATTTTGTTATTCCCCTCTCATACCACTTTGCATTGCCTCCCACACACCCACCTCCCAAAAGAGAGAGCAAGGACCCCTGGGAGCAGGAAATGAGTCAATGTCTCCATCCCTAGTTCCTTACCAGGGAGCACCAGGAAATGCCCAGGGTCCAGGCCAGCTTCCCTCTCTGGCTACTGCCATTCTATCTGGGCTCAGGAGTCAAGGAGGGTTGGGGGATGGAGTGGGCAGAGTGAATCTCTCTCCCACCCTTTCCCTTCCCCAGTCCCAGGCTGGATGTCATAGTACCTGGAGAGGGTGATGGGTAGAGACGGCCCCAGACCTCTTCACAGCAGGGGTAGGGGGGCTATGCAGCAGCTGCAGCGGGTACTCCACTGTGGAAAAGGCGGCAAGGAGAAAAGTCCTGGATGAGCATAGAACAGCAGAGACCCTGCTTGACGAGGCACATTGGCGGTCAGGACAGACGGATAGATAGCGGGTTTGAGCTCTCGTCTACAGCTTGGCTTTAGCAGCTCTTCCCCCCCAGCATCTGATAAGCCAGCTAGGTCTATCCACTAACTTTCTCAGGATTCTGATGGTGAGACACACACACCACTCCTACCTACCCACATATGAACGTACAAGTTCTGGGCAACATTCTAAACACCTAAGCCCTTCCCAAGTTTATGCATTCACCCATTCAACAAACATTTCATGAGTGTGCAAGACACTGAAGGTGATACAAAGGGAAAATGCGACATGGCCCCTGCCCTCGTAGAGCTTCTGGTCTACTTGGGGATACAAGACATGTTCCTAACCAACAGTAACACAAAGCAGCAAGTGATGAGGGCCATAAGTGGGGCGAACCAAGAGCTGCTGAACACAGAGGAATGACAGAGCCAGAAGATCACCTCTAAAGGCCCATCTCGTTCTAGATCCCACGACTCTGACTTCTGATTGGGAAGATCAGAGAAGGCTGCAAAGGTATGATCATTTGAGATGGGTCTCTAACGGTAGGAGATGGGATCAGTGGATATTTCATCCAACAAGATCAAAGAGCATGACTCTTTTAGGAAGCCTTCCTGGATTGATCCAGCTAGGTTTCACGTTTACCCAGCATCTCCCCCAGCAGCCGGACATTATATTGCTTATGCCATACTTGTTTGCCCTTGCTGATGAACCGCCATGTAAAAATATTTTTTCAGCTATTTCATGGGTGGGTGCTATATATAGGAGTACTATAATAATTGCTGGGGCTTCTACAATTCCTTTTAAACAAGTTTGCTTGTTTATTTTTTGAGGCTAGGTCTCCCTATCTTGGCCGGGCTGGAAGGAGAGCTGCCATTCACAGGCTATATCCCGCTGCTGACTGGTATAGCAGCTTTGAATTGTTCTGTCTTTTTGGACGTGCCTGGTTCGCCCTACCTTTGGTAGCATGGTAGCCCTCGTGACCCAGGGGCTCACCATATTGGTGCAGGACTTGTGAGGACCCCAGATCTGTCTCTAGCCTCACTGTAGCTCAGAACTGTTGAACTCAGTAATCCACCAGCCTGAGCCTCCTCACAATTAGGACCTACAGGAATGTGCTGCCACATCCAGCTTTTTAAAATTGGAAAAGCATTTCACACATATTATCCCGCTTGAGCCTGTGGTAGCCCTGAGAGGCAGGTACGACCATCCTATTTTACAAATGAGGAAACTGAGTCTCAGCGAGCAAAAGTAACCTGCTCTTGGTCATACAGGTAGTGTCAGAGGCAGGATTTGAACCCACACTCCTGACCCCCCACATCTAGCCCTCTACTTCACTTTACAGCCTCCAGCCTATAATCTTCTAAATCACAGTGTAATAATAATAGCTAACATTTATATAGCTCCTACTATGTGCTGGGCACTATGCAATTATTATCTCATTTCATCCTCACAAAAACCCTCAAAGGTAGGTGCTATTATTATCCCCATTTTACAAATCAGGAAACTGAGGCAACTAGCATTTAAGTGACTTGCCCAGGGGCATACAGCTGGAGAGTATCTGAGGATGGTTTAAACTCAATCTTCCCGACTCTAGGCTCAGTGCTCTGTCCACTGCGATACTCATTAAAGGTAGTAAACAAGGGCTGGACCTAATAATTCCATTGCTGGGAATATATCCTAAGAGTGTACCCCAAAGTCAAAGGCAACCAAAAAGAGCTATCTGTACAAATATTTTTATAACAGCAATATATATAATTGCACAAAATCAAAAACCATGACCGAGCTCTAGAAGCAACCCAAATGTCCAACAATAGGGCATCGTTTAAAGAAACTGTGGTACATTACTGTAACAGAATAATACAACTAAAGCCGACAAGTATGAAGAATACCAAAAAAATCTATAAAACCTGTATGAATAATGCAAAGTGAAAAGAGCAGGTAGCGGTGTACACTAATTACCTGCCACAGGAGGACAAGCAAATGAGAATGAGTAGACAAAGAATCCTCATGTTAAGAGTGAGGGGAGGCAAACAGCTCGCAATAGTTCATATTGAGACTAATTCATTTCAATGTAAATAGTTGCTGCTGCTAAGCAAGTTTGATCGGTTGCATTTCAATGTCAAGATTATAAGAAAAGTTTTCTTTAAAAAAAAAAAAAGCAGAGCCTATCATTCTCTGTATCTCACTCCAGAGTGCTAAGTATGGAACTGGGCAAACACTAGCTTTCAATTAGTGTCACTGATCAGCTGACCCACACTCAAGCCCGAAAAGAAATTAGGCAACAGGCCAAGGGGAATTCGAATCAACTCCCCCTCTACCCAGCAGCTGGGTCTGCTCTTTCTGGTCTGCCTTTCCCTTTCTTCCTTTATCCTCACAAGCTAGCATTCTAATGGGGCTGTACATATATGGGTAGACTAGTAGGTGGGATAGGGGTGAAGGCAGAGTTGGGGAACTGAAGTTACGTATTACTACTTTTGAGTTCTTAACCTACAAGGAGACAATTGTGGGGATTGGTATGGCTAGTGTAGCAGCTAAAAATGAGAAAGAAGGGGGAAATGATGTGCTCGGAGATTTTGGAGAGAGAAGTTCAGTCTCTTTTTCAGTCATGGCCAACTCTTCATGACTTCATTTGGGGTTTTCTTGGCAAGGATATTGGAATGGTTTGCCATTTCCTTCTCCCTGAGGTAGACAGAGTTAAGTGACTTGCCCAGGGTCACACAGCTAGGAAGTGTCTGAGGACAGATTTGAACTCAAGATGACTCCAGGCCTGGCACTCTATCCACTGCACCACCTAGCGGTCCAGAAACAGAAGTTCAGATTGGCCTTAATGGCCCCAGAAGACAGGGGGAAAAACAACTCCTTACATTTGTGAAGTAATTGATGGCAATAGACCATAAGTCTATTTAGAGATAGAAGGGACCCCATCCAGTCCAACATCATCTCATGTTACTGATGAAGCTTAGGTCTGGGGGGAATTAAGTCATTTGCCCATGGTCATACAGGTAAGTGTCAGAGGTGGAATTTGAACCCAGGTCCTCTTGCTTCAGAGCTGACCTTCTTTCCACCATATCATGCGGTTTCTTATCAAACCCTTTCCTATATATTTTCTGCAGCATTTTTGGAAAGGGCACTAGAGTCAGAGGAGATTCTAATTCCAGGTCTTCTACTCATCAGCTACATGCCTTGAGCAAGTCAATTCTTGTCTGAGTCTCTGTTTACTCATCTATGAAATGGGGATAATATCTGCTCTGATTAAACTGAAATCATGAAGATATTAATGTAGAGTGTTAATTCCTTCAGAACAGTGATTAAATTGAACTATTCCCTAGCCCAGCACCTTGCACATAGTAGGTGTTCAGTAACATTTGTTGGATGAATGAATGACCTCATTGGGTTCTCTCCACTCTCACTGTAAAGTATATAGGGAAATATATATCCTGACTATTAGACAGACAAGGAAACTGAGACCCCAGGAGACTAAGGAATGTAGTATTGCGTAAGTCAATGGTTGCACCAGGAATGAGACCAACGTCTCCAGATTTCCAGCGCTGCCTCCAGAGATCCCTTCCTTTTCAGAACCAACTATGATTCTGAGACTCCCTGCCTTCCCAATAGAATCCCCCACTTACCTGGTTTACAAGGGATGGGCTGAATAGGCAGTGCCAGCTGGGAGTCAGCAGTAACAGGCATGGGCTGGTGGCTGGGAGGGAACGCAGGGATCATGACATAAGGCATGTTGACCTGCTGAAGGGAGAGAGACCCCCCGTATGAGCTCCCCAGATGTGGCAACTCCAGGCCACACAGAGGAAGCATCTGAACCTATGGATGGAGGGCAAAGTGTTCAATGCTTTTACTTCTAGCCAGTGAGGGGGACACCTGCATTTTTTCTTGCTTTCTCCATGTCTAGAGTTCTATGAATGCCCAATTCCTATTATGGAAATCAAACTATAGATTATATATTTAGAGCTAGGAGGGAGCTTAGAGATCCTCTACTCCATCCGTTCATTTTACAGGTGAGGAAACTGAGGCTTAGAGGGGTGAAATAACTTGACAGAAGTAGGATTTGAACCAAGAAACTCTTGACTCTAAATCCATGCTTTTTTCCGCTGTACCATGCCTTAGGAAGTATTTACCCCAAGCCTCTCCCCAGGGAAGGAGAAAGAAAAAGAAAGTGAGGGAAGCTGAAGAAATGGAGAATATTAGAGCTAGAAGGGACTTTAGAAATCACCTAATCCAATCACCTTATCTCACAGATGAGGAAATGGAGTCCCAAAGGTTAGGTGATTTGCACAAGGTTCCATGGCTACTGTAGAGCAGAATCAGGATTCTGGCCCAAGGTTGGTTGGTTGGTTTAGGACAAACCTGATCTTTCCATTATACTATGTGGGGACACTAGGGACCCTAATTATTGTCCTGACTGTGGACGTCCCCAGCTTCACGTACTTCAACATGCCCGTTCCAGCACCACTCCCCCAAGAAGCTCCCTTTCCACCTGCAGTGATGAACTGAGTATGGAGCAGGGAGATGGCTAGCAGAACATCTTGTTGTGGAAGAGTCTCGGAAGACAGTTAATTCAGAGGATCATAGCTTTAGAGCTGGAAGGGACCTTAAAGACCATGGAAATCCAACTCCTTAATTTTCCAGGTGAGGAAGCCAAGGGCTGGCAAGGCTGTGCCTTGTTCATGATCACCCTGCTAGTGTCAAAGGCAGAATCTGAACCTTGGTCTTTCTGACTCTCTCCATGACACCATGCCACTAAGCCTCCCTTCCCTCCTACCCCTCCCACCCCTCCTCTCCCAGTGCTCCCACAACCCTGCCTCTCTCTTTACCTGGATCTGCTGCTGGAGGAGGTTGATCTTATGCTGCTGCTGAATGAGCTGCTGCTGCTGCTTTGCTATCTGGTTACAAGAAGGGGTGGGGAGGACAGAACAGGGCCATGCCTGATTAATCCTTGCGTGCCCATGACCTTTGTCTAAGTGGAATGTCCTAACCCTACAGAATGGCCCCTCTGTAACTTGGCCCTGTTTGTGCCTGCAGCAAACCACAGAACCTCCAAGGAAACCTAGTCCCAGGTAGAGTGTGTAAAGTCAAGGGGAGGAAAATACAGGCAGTCATTCAAGTTTCAAAATCTACTTACTCTCTTCTTGAATGGATAGAATTCACTCGAAAAATGAAAAAGGAGAGGCATGGGAGTTAAGTGGTCACAAAATCTCACCTATTCTTACCAACACCTGAACAAAAAACAATTAAGCAATACATTAGACAATGGGTTTCTTGAAGACCTCCAGGGAGGAGGAACTCAGTACCTTCCCAGGAAGCCCATTCCAATTTTAGAGAGCCTTTTTTTTTTTTAAAGGCAATCAGGGTTAAGTGACTTGCCCAGGGTTACACAACTAGTAAGTGTCTGAGGTCAGATTTGAACTCAGGTCTTCCTGATTCCAGGGCCAGTGCTCTATCCACTGTGCCATCTAGATGCCCTGAGAGCTCTTAATTGTTAGGAAGATTTTTTTTCTTATATCAAGCCTAAATCTTTTTTTTAAATAGTATTTTCCCCCCAATTACATGTCAAGACAATTTTTAGCATTCATTTTTACAAGATTTTGAGTTCCAAACTTTTCTCCTTCCCTCCCCTCCCCTCTTCCAAAAATGGTAGGCAATTTGATGTAGGTTGTAACATGTGCTATCATGTAAAACATATTTCCATATTAGTCCTAGTTGTGAAAGAAGAAACAGATCAAAAAGAAAAAAAACAAAAAAGAATAAGTGAAAAAATATGCTTCAATCTGCATTCAGAATCTATCAGTTCTTTCTCTGGATGGGGATTACATTTTTCTTTGGGAGTCCTTTGTACCACTGTGTTGCAAAGAAGAGCAGAATCATTCGTAGTTGCTCATCACACAATGTTGCTAATACTGTGTACAATGTTTTCCTAGTTCTGCTCATTTCACTTTGCATCAGTTCATACAGGTCTTTCCAGGTTTTTCTGAAATCTGCCATTACAGATATATCCATTACATTCATACACCATAGCTTATTTAGCACTTTCCCAGTGAATGGGCATCCCCTCAGTTTCCAATATTTTGCCACAGCGAAAAGGGCTGCTATAAATATTTTTACACAGGTAGGTCCTTTTCCCTTTCTTTTATCTCTTTGGGATAGAGCTAAATCTTTTTTTGCAACTCCCTTTCATCATCCCTAATTCTGTCCTCTGGGGCCAAGCAGAATAAGTCTGTTCTACATGGCAGCCCTTCAGATACTTGAAGGCGACTATCATAGCCCAAACACCTTCCAGTAATCTCTTCTCAAGGGTAAATTAACACCTCTGATTCCCTTAACCGAATCTCCTAGAACGATGATTTCTAGTCCCTTGACCGACTTGATTGGTTTACTTTGGACAATTTTAAGTTTATCAACGTCCAGCCTAAAATATGGCAGCAAAAACTGAACACAATACTTCAGAGCAGAATACAGTGGGGCTAGTAATGCCCTAGTTCTGGACACAACCCCTCTCTTAAGGCTGCCTAAGACTGCATTAGCTTTCTTTGGCTGCCACTTGACTCAGCTGACTCATGTTAAGGCCATCCTTCACCAACTTCCCATCCCCACCCCCACCTAGCCATATCTTCCCCATCTTGTACTTGTGAAGTTAATTTTTTTAACCCAATTAAATGTCACCTTATTAGATTCATCCCAATATTCTAGCCTGTCCAATCTTTTTGTGTCCTGACTTGATAATCTAGTGTGCTAGCTAGCCTTCTCAGCAATATATCACCTCCAAATTAGATATGTGTGCCATCTATGTGCCATCTATGCTTTATCCAAAGCATTGATGAAAATGTTAAACAGCACAGGGCCAAACAGAGGCTCCTGAAGTCTTCCACTGGCAGCCTCATGCCAAGGTGATACCAAACCATTAAAGGCTACTCTTTTTGGTTCTACCATTCAACCAGTTCTGAATCTAACTGTCCTATCAGCCAAACCATATCTTGCCATATTTTCCACAAGAAAAGCATGAGAGACTTTGTCAAATACTTTTAAAAAATCTAGGTAAGGAATCAAGAGCAGCAAAAAGAGCAATGTGAGTTTCCCTCAATTCAAATTCCTTCAAACAGATCTAGAAAACAAACCAGATTGAGCTCTGAGGAGAAAATACAAGAAAAAGTCACAGTGAACTATTTTTCCAGCCCCAATCAGCATAGGGAGATAGAGAGAGAGGTCTGTGGATAAGGGGAACAGAATCTGGCAAAAGTCTATACCGCCTATAGAGGAGTCCAGTGCCCAAGAAGTTGCAAACCAGAGCAAGAGGAGGTACCACACTCATACTGGGATGGAATTCATGCAGAGTATGGGAAAAGGTGCTAAGTAGTTCTGGGTCACAGATCCAGGGCAAACCAATTTGGGGACTTGCAGGGCACACCAAGGAGGCGACTTGCCACCAAAGGTGACTTTATAGGGTAAAGAGATTTTCCTGGGACCACTTGCAGACCCTAGGCAGTGCAGCAAGAGAGGAGTAAGTTCAGAAGCAAGCAACAATAATATGGCTTGGACCCCCAGGAGCAGAGCAGGGTCTCACTTCTAGTTTCTATTCCCAGTCTGAAGTCTTCAGAGGAATAATTGGGGCTGAAATCCCAAACAAATGGGAACCTATAGTTTTATTATTCTGAACCAGCAGTTTCCCAGTGGGCTGACCATAGTTAAATCTAGCAACATTCTACCACTGCTCAGACCCAAACCCAGTTCAGGAGGTAAAGCTCAGACCTGAAGGACAGCAATCAGACTTTACCCTAGATAAGACCACTTTGTAATGGCTGAAAGCTTGCAGGTCTTCAGCTTGAGATCCTGGAATAACATAATACTCAATACCCCCCAGGGAAGCAGCAACAGGACCAGCCCACACCCTTCCTCCACAACTTTGCAAAGCCAGGTCCTAATATCAAGTCTGAAATCAAGAAGTAGACTGGAAGAATGAGCAACCAAAAAAATACCACCATGAAAAGCTATTATGATGACAGGGATACTGAAGACATAAACCCTGACGAAGCGAAATGACTCCAAAACATTTACTAGCAAAGCCTCAGAGCAAAACACAGCTTGGACACAAATCCAACTAGGAAGATAGGAAGCAAGACTTTAAGATAGTTTTAAAAATGCTTTTGTCAGTGAAATAGAAGCAACAGAGGAACAAACTAGAAAGGGAATGAGAGTTATGGAAGAAACAATTAGAAAGGGAATTAACAGCTTGGCACAAGGGGTACAAAACCTTGCCTAAGCAATAAACTTCCTGAAAATTAGAATGGCCCAAATAGAACCCAAGACTCCCTGAAAGAACAAGAAATGGCAAAAGACTGAAAGAAATGGAAGAAAGTGGTAAGAAATCTCATAATAAAAACAACTGTCATAGAAAATAGATTGAGAAGGAAAAAAAATCCTTGGACTACTTGAAAACCATAAACAAAACAAAAGAGCCTAGACATATTTTGGGAAATCTTAAAAACAAACAAACACCACCCAGAGCTCTTAGAAGCAAAGGACAAAGTAAAAGAATTCATTAGTTACCTCCAGAAAAAAATCTCCCAAATGAAAACTCTAAGAAATATTACAGCCAAAATGAGTTTCCAGGACAAACAAGAAAGACAGCAAGTAGCAATAACAAAAAGAATTCAAAACGAAAGGTCCAGAATATCAAGGGAACAAATGAAAAGAAATGCCAGGGAAGGTGGCTTAGCCACACCAGATCTTAAATTGTGATATAAAGCAGCAATCATCAAAACTGCTTGGTACTGGCTAAGAAATAGGGTGGTGGATCAGTGGAATAGGTTAGGTCCACAAGACACAGCAGTCAACGACTATAGTGATCTGCTGTCTGATAAACCCAAAGACCCTAGCTTCTGGGATAAGAACTCACTATTTAACAAAAACTGCTGGGAAAACTGGAAAATAGAATGGCAGAAACTAGTCACAGACCAACACCTTACACCATATGCCAAAATAAAGTCAAAATGGGTATGTGATTTAGATATAAAGGCTGATACTATAAGTAAACTGGGAGAGCAAGGAATAGTTTACCTGTCAGATTTATGGAGAACAGAAGAATTTATGACCAAACAAGAGATAGAGAACATTATGAAATGCAAAATGGATAATTTTGATAATATTAAATTGAAAAGATTTTGCAGAAAGCCAATGCAACCAAAATTAAGAGGGAAGCAGTAAGGAAGGAATAATATACACACTCAGTTGGATATGGAAAGCTATCTTACCCTACAGGAAAATAGGGGGAAGGGGATAAGAGATGGGGGGGGGATGATAGAGGGGAGGGCAGATTGGGGGAGGAGGTAATCAGAAGCAAACACTTCTGAGGAGGGACAGGGTCAAAACAGAGAATAAAATAAACGGAGGGGGGACTGGAGAGGATGAAGGAAAACATGGTTTTCCACAACATGACTAGTATGGTGGGATAGGATGAAGGAAAATATAGTTTTCTACAATATGACTACTGTGGAAGTGTTTTGCATGACTATACATGTATAACCTGTATCAAGTTGCTTGCCTTCTCAATGAGGCTGGATGAGGAGGGAGGAAGGGAGAAAATTTGGAACCCAAAGTTTTAAAAACATGTTAAAAATCGTTTTCACATGCAACTGGGAAATAAGATGTACAGGCAATGGGGTATAGAGATCTATCTTGCCCTACAGGAAAAGAGAAGGGGAAAGGGATAAGAGGTGGGGGGAGTTAGAAGGGAGGGCAGATTAGGGGAAGGGGTATTCAGAATGCACGCCATCTTGGGGTGGAGGGAGGGATGAGATGCAGAGAAAATTTGAAACTCAAAATCTTGTGGAAGTGAATGTTGAAAACTAAAATAAATTAATAAAATAAATTTTAAAAAATAAATTTAAAAAAATAGGGAAGTAGAAAACTGGGAAAGAATTTTTATAACCAGTGTCTCTGATAAGGCCTCATTTCTAAAATATATAGAGAACTAAGTCAAATTTATAAGAATACAAATCATTCCCCAATTGAAAATGGTCGAAGGATATGAACAGGCAGTTTTCAGATGAAGAAATTAAAGCTATTTATATGAAAAAATGCTCTAAATCACTATTGATTAGAGAAATGCAAATCAGATGACGTTGAGGTACCACATCACACCTATCAGATTGGCTAACATAACGAAACAAGAAAATGATAAATGTTGGAGAAGATGTGGGAAAATTGGAACACTAATGCCTTGTTGGTGGAGTTGTGAACTGATCCAGCCACTCTGGAGAGCAATTTGGAACGATGCCCAAAGGGCTATAAAAATGTGTGTATACTCTTTGACCCAGCAATACTACTTCTAGGGCTATATCCCAAAGAGATCATAAAAATGGGGAAAAAACCCACATGTACAAAAATATTTATAGCCTCTCCTGTGGTGGCAAAGAATTGGAAATTGAGGGGATGCCTATCAATTGAGGAATGGCTGAACAAGTTGTGGTGTATGAATATAATGGAATACTATTGTGCTATAAGAAATGATGAGCAAGCAGACCAGAAAAACCTGGAAAGATCTGTATGGACTGATGCTGAGTGAAGTGAGCAGAACCAGGACAACATTGTACACAGTAACAGCCATGTTGTACAATGACTAACTTTGATAGACTTAGCTCTTCTCAGCAATGCAAGGATCTAAGACATCTCCAAAAGTCTCATGATGGAAAATGATATCCATATCTAGAGAAAGAACTATGGAGTCTGAATGCAGATTGAAGCATATTATTTGTTCTTTTTTTTTCTGTTTTGTTTCTTCTTTCTTGTGGTTTTTCCTATTGGTTCCAATTCTTCTTTACAACATGACTAATGTGAAAATATATTTAACAGGAATGAATATGGACAGACCATATCAGATTGCATGTCGTCTTGGAGAGGGAGGGGGAGAAATTTTAAAACTCAAAAGCTTATGGAAGTGAATGTTGAAAACTAAAAATAAATAAATTAATTAATTTTAAAAAAAGAATTCAAGTACTGAAGAGTACTGTACAGTCAGGCTTACACATGATTTAGCCGCCAGCACATTAAAGGGTGAAGAGCTTGGAATATGATATTCCAGAAGGCAAAGGATATATGCTTGCAGTCAAGAATAACTTACTTACTCAGAAAACCTTAAATGTAATGCTACAGAGGAAAAAAGGGACCTTTAACGAAAGAGGACTTCCATGCATTCCTACTGAAAATAACAGAAAAAAAGGTTTTTAAAATAAATTCTTTTGAAAAAAGAGAGAAAATATCAGAGCTAGGAAGAACTGTTTTAGTTCAATTACAGTAGTGAAGAAAAATATAAAAAGGTAAATAGAAATTAACAATCACAAGAGACTTTTGTCTTGTTTACAAGGCTAAACTATGCATAGATAACATATTTGTTCCCTCTGAGCCCAAACATCATCAGGGGTTACAGACTGAGTCTCATTAGACAGAAGGCTTGGCATTAGTTCTGTTAGGCCTTGGTGATATTAAAAGAATGGAAAAAGAGGTGAAGAAGAATACACTGAGATAGGGATGAAGGAAAGAAGGGAGAAGTGGGAATTAGAGGAAGAGAGTTTAAGGGAGATTAGTCCTAAACAAAACAATCTTTAACTAAAAGATGTACAAAAAATATTTATAACTCTTTTTGAAGTGGCAAAGAAAGGAGATCTGAAGGAGTACCTATCATTTGGGGAGTGGCTGAGCAAATCTTAGTATATACACGTGAAGAAATACTATTGTGCCATAAGAAATGATGAAAGGAATGGTTTCAGAGAAACTTAGGAAGACTGATATGAAGTGATGCAGAGTGAAGTGAACAGAACCAGGAGAACAATTTACACAATAACAGCAACAAAGCAAACACAAACAATTTTGAAAGACTTAGGAACTCTACTCACAATTCTAGCGACTAATGATGAGACACGTTCACCTCCTCTTAGAGAGGTGAAGGACTCAAAGCCCAGAATAAGACATATGTGTGTATTTTGGGGTAGGAGGGAGAAAGGGTAGATTTTTGCTGACTGAAAAAAGGAAAGTTGGCCTGGCATGATCTGATTTTGATGAAGGCTTTTTGTGATTGCTATTTCCTCTTCTAGGTATCCAATAACCATCTTTTTAATAAGATGCTTTTGAATTTTTCCAGGAATCAAAGTCATGACTACTAATCTTTTTTTAAATATCCTCTGTCTCTCTGTCTCATCAGGTTATTTGCCCTACTTCACTTTTTCAGTGCCTCTCCTCTTCTTCAAAATCAGCAATCTCATGTGTTAGTTCTTTCAGTACCTAATTATGTAGTGACTTGAATTCAAGGCCAGCTAGGCTACCTTTTACTATCTCTCTACTTACTCTGGACTTCCACTGCCCATTACCCATCTGAATACATTTTAGTCTAGCTGGAGGTCCCTGATTCTTATAATTATGCTTAAAAGAGTGGATATCCCCTCCCTGATATCCATACACACCTCCTTCTGATGACTGCCCCACAAGTCAACGCATAAAATCTAGAATGTTAAAATTACTTCCCCCCATGATCTACACAAAATCCTTGGTGGTTAGGGTTGTCTGGGTCCTATCCTCAAGCTTCTATCTCTTCCCTCTGAGTACATCCCACACCTCAACAAGAAGAAGAAGGGGCAGGGCTCACTTGCTCTTGCTGCTGCCTGGCCAGCTCCATCTGTTGCTGCTGCTTCTCAAACAACATGGCAGCCATGTTCTTCTGCTCTGAGTGAGCTGTCAGGAGCTGGTCCCGAAGAGTGGACAGCTGATGGATCATGACCAGGAGCTGAAGTTCCTTCTCCGCCAGGCTTTCTTGGGTCCCTGCTCAAACAAGAAACATCTCCCATAATTCCTCATAACACCATTAGATAGATGGTAAGTCAGACCTGGATAGACAGACAGTAGGCTCCTTCTCAAAGCCAGCCTGTGGGATTTCTTGCCTAATATGGCTTCCTAGACTTAGACCAACTTCTCCAGGTCTCATTCCCAAGACATGCATAGTCAGAGGGCTATGATGGCATACAATACCACAAGGAAGTCAGGGTAAATAGGAGAAGGGTGCAAATAGATAGGGCTATGAGCTAGGACCCCAGCTTCATTCACTAATGGTCCCAATAGCCACAGGACTATTGGAAAGGGTGAGTAGCACACTGCTTTACCAGGATCTCCCCTCCAGTTTGCTTTCCCTTATAATAGAAAAATTGTGTACATGTCTTCCTCCTTTTAGAGTATAAGGTCCTTGAAAACAGTGTAAGAAATTGAGGAAAGAGCGTTGGATTTGGAGTAAAAAAAACCTGAGTTCCAATTCTGGCTCTTCTACTTACTATCTGTGTGACCTTGGACATGACACTTAATTTCTCTGAGCCTTGATTTTTTTTATCTGCAAAATAAATGGGTTAGCCCAGATGACCTTGAAGGTCTGTTCCATCTCCAAGTCTATGATCCCATGTTATGTCTAACTTTGTCTCTTTGGTACACAGTAAAGTGCTTTACAAATAGTAACTACATAACAATTGTCTGGACTGAACTGAATCAAATTAGAGGCAAGTAAAGCAGGAAGAGGCAAAGTCATATAGCAAGTTGGTGACCTAGAATGGGCTAGACCTCAGTTCTTCTGACTCCAAGGTCCTGTGGCTCTACTATGTTGCTAATCTGTTAAAAGAATTAAGTCAGTCAATAAGCATTTATTAAGCACCTACTATGTGCGAGGCACTATGCTAAGGAGTAAAGGGCCCAAAGTCAAGTCAGTGGGATCAGTGATCCAGAGCTGGAAGAAACCATACAGGAGTTGAGCCCCAGAGAGGTTGCATGGCTTATACAAGGTAATGAGTGGTAGAGCCCAGGATTTTAACCCAGATTCTCAGACTCAAAATCTACTGCTCCTTTCCCTGTAGCACACCTCATACAAGTTTTCTATTGGGAATCCAGAGCTATAAGACCATAGGTGCATGAAGGGGTCACAGTTGATAATAAGACTGGTGTAAACAGTGTCTTTGCAATGGCACAGACTAGGTCAGGCTAGTGCCAATAAAGGACTCCCCATCAGTGTCATCCTGACCCAGACATTAGAATCCAGGCAGGGGCCTAGGTGGGGCCTGCTCTCACTGCTTCTCCTCTGCCATCCTCGCTCTCTTACTTATCTTTATTCTTTCCCTGTCCACTAGATACTTCCCTACTGTCTACACATATGCCCACGTCTCCAACAGCCCCAAAAGATACTCACTTGATCCATCTACCCCCACTATTGTCCCATATCTCTTCACCCTTTTGTGACTAAAGTCCTTGAGAAGGCCCTCAACAATAGGTATCTCCAATTTCTTTCTTCTCACTATCTTCTTAACTCTCCACAGTCTGTTTTCCAACCTCTTTATTCAATTGAAATTGCTCTCTCTTGAGTTAGGAAGGATTTCTTTGATCACCAAACATAATGGCCTTTTCTCAGTCCTCCTATTTCTTGACCTTCATGAAGCCTTTAACACTGTGAATCACCCTCATCATCGTGATACCTCTTTTCTCTAGGTTTTTGTGACACTGCACCCTCCTGATTCTCCTATTACCTATCTGACCATTCTTCAGTTTCCTTTTCTAGATCTTCATCCAGGTCATGCCTGCTAACCGTAGGTGTTCCACAAGGCTCTGCCCTGGGCCCTCTTCTCTTCTCCTTCTATATTATTTTACTTCATCATTTCCCATGGATTCAATTCTTATCTCTCTGCTGATGATTCTCAGATCTACCTTTCCAGTCCCGACCTTTTTGCTGACATTCTTTTGTGTGTGTTTGTGTTCATCTTGAAAAATGTATTATTTATTTACATTTAACATTCTTTTATTCATAAATTTGGAGTTCCAAATTCTCTCCCTCCCCCACCCACTGAGAAGGCAAGCAATATGATATCAATTATACAAAGCAAATTTCCATATTAGCCACAGCACATCTACTGATATTCAGTCTCACATCTATTGGACATCTTGGACTAGATGTCTTGCAGGCATCTTAAATGCAACCTGTTCAAAACTGAACTCATTATCTTTTCCCCAAAATCATCTCCTATTCTGAATTTCCCTGTTACCATGTTCTCATTCGTCCCCACAAACAAACTGTCATCTTCAACTCCTCAATCTCTCTCACCTCCTCCTCTCTCCCATATGACCCCTTCTCTGATACTGCCACTAGGGTCCTTATCACCTGGACTACCTGCCTGCACTACCACAATAACCTCTTGGTTAGTCTGTATTTTCACTGGTAATCCCCACCCCCACCCCTATGCCTAGAATGTTCTTCCTCCGCATCTCTTCCTCCTAGCTTTCTGGTTTTCTTCAAGTCACAGCAAAAATCTCACCTTTTACAGAAAATCTTTGCAAATCCCCATTTATTCTAGTGCCTTCCAAGCCAGGGGTAGGGGACCTGCAGCCTCGAGGCCACCTGTGACCCTCCAAGGTCCTCAAGTGTGGCCCTTTGACTGAATCCGAACTTCACAGAACAAATCCCTCTGTGGATTATTTCTAATTTATCCTGTACATAATTTGTATGAGTTATTTGCATAGTGCCTTCCCAGTAGACTGGTGGGCATAACTGAGCTCCTTGAAAAAGACAGACTATCTATTATCTTTTTTGTAAACCTGGTGCCTGGCATGTAGTAGGTACTTTATAAATATTTGACTGAATGACTCTGAGCATTCCCCCAGGTCTTATCATTCTTCCTGTTGCTGGGTCAAAATCTTTAGGTCTTTACACTGTCATAACTTCCATTCCCTTGGCCCACCAACTCAGGAAGATGGCATGGACACTCAGCCTCACATCCACACAAACCACCTCTATACCCACCACTCACTCTCTGCCAAGATGTAGGATCCTCACCTTTGACATCTTTGGTTTCCACAGTGCTTCTTCCCAGAAGCCTCTCTCTCCAGTCACTGGACAAAAGCTTCTCAATGGTGGGCATGACTGAAAGATACCAAGAGATGACAAATGATCTTTCCCAACAGCTCCCATTACTATTCCTGGGCACCCTGGGAAACCCACTTCTACCTTTCATGGAGACCTTACCTTCTTTCAAATTCCGATTGAAATCCAGCTTTTCTTGGCTTCCAGTGGCTGGCTCAGGCCCTCGTCTTCTAGGTTCTGGTGGCCCATCGCTCTTTGGGGACCCACAGTCCTATAATACAATCCATCCCAAATTGTCATTATGTGGCCAGCTGTTACCCAGACACAGACACCCAGAGGGAAGACAAGCCTTCAGCAAAGACAAAGTATTTTTGTTTTTGTTTTTTGAGAAGTAGAAGAAACAAGGCTGAGATAATTTGAACTATAATAGCTACCACATATGCCTTTCTTACATGAGATTTCCAAGCTCCCTAACATGTAAGAAACAATCTCCACTCTACATTTTAGCTAAAGTCAAAGACACTTTATTCAAGTCATAAGCAATCTCAGGGAGAGACACCAACAGTTTCCTCTCAGGCAGGTGGGTTCTGCTTAAAGTAACTGACAGTAAAATAAAAGATAAAGAAATACAGCCAGTTTAATCCTATCTAGACTCCATTATCCCTTGGCCGCGTGGTCCAGGTCCCAGGAGTTCTATTCACCCCAGCTTACAGGTCACTCCCATCCAGATCTTCCTTAGACTCCTTCTCCAGTCACCCCAAACTGCTAGGTCACTCCTAGTTCCCTCCCACAGTCTTTCTGTATATAAGGTCCATCTTGTCTCCATTAAGGTGCTCAGATTCTTAAAATCTAGCCACCACTCATGTTCCTTAAGAACCTAGCCAATAGCTCAGAAATTTTCAGATTCCTTAAGAATCTGGCCAGTGTGGCAGATGTTCTAATAAACCTAGTATCTGGCAGAAAGAAAGAAAGGAAGGAAGGAAGGAAGGAAGGAAGGAAGGAAGGAAGGAAGGAAGGAAGGAAGGAAGGAAATACAGTCAGAGAAAAGAATAAGGTTTTCAGTTTTCAGCTGTGCTTTCATAGTATTTGACAAGAGAATGAGGACAACATGGACACACCCTCAGAAACACCTGGTCAGTGGTACTGGCTTATGAAGAAGCCATGACACATCCCTAATCCTCTATCTCTTACAAAGAATCTTAGGTCTGGAGCTAGAAGGGCCTTAGAGGCCACCCAGTTTAACACTTTCATTTTAAAAAGGAAGAAACTAAGTGATTTGTCCAAGGTCATAGAGAGAATAAACATCAGAGGCAAGATTTGAATCCAAGTCCTGTCTCTAGAACCAGCGCTGTTTCCACTGTACCATACAAACTCCCGGGAAATTTAGGATACTTTGGTATTGGTAGGTTACCACCTCTGACTATCCTGTCCTCACAGGGCTGAGATTATTGCTGCATCCATAGCCTAGAGGCTCTTTCTACCACATACACCCTTTCAATCCAGCCAGGCCAGGCTCTTCACCAGCCCTTTCCATGGGTCGTACATTGGCTCTCACTGTTCTCCCCTGAGAAAGAGACCCCCTTCTTCTTGATGATTATCTGCATCCTGCCCAGCTTTCTGAGCCCTCCTCAAATCCCCCCTTCTTCCCTGAGGCCTCCTCTGACCCCACCAGCCTGTAAGGGTCTCTCCCTCCTCCCACCTCTCACAGCAGTTATTGTCTGTTCCCTTCATCTGGCTTTTTAATTATAAGCCTGGTGACATCTTTTGAATAGAATCACAGAATATTTTAGAACTGGAAGGAACCTTAGAGAGCTTCTAGTCCACCCCCCCCCCCATTTCACAGAGAAAGAAGATACATTGCTGTCTTGTATGGCTATTTAACTCTTAGGTGTGTAATAAGAGTGATTTCCAACAGTCACATGGCAAAGGATTCTCATTACTACACACCTCATTAGATATTCACATGCACCTGCCTTGTTTCTCCAACCTGACCATAACAAGACAGAGGCAGCATGGTACAGTAGAAAGATTTCTGGCTCTGGAGTCAGAGGGCCTGAGTTCAAATTACTGCCTGTGTGACTTTGGGAGTCTTAATCTATCTGTGCCCTCCCCTAGAAAATGTGGAGGTTGGTCCAGATAGCTTGAGGTCGCTCTTGCTTCAATTCCAGGGCACCACGAAGCACTGACCACACGCTAAGAAGGGTTATATTTCCTACTGTCTTCCAAGACATCAAGTATGCTCTTAATGAGTGAATGCCACGTCCCTGTTAGGGACGTCACCATAGAAAGCAATAATAACAATTCACATTTATATAAGCACTTTAAGGTTTACACCTCTTTCCCCACAGGAAGCCTGTGAAACAGAAAGTATAAATGTCATCATACCCATTTTATAGACTAGCTTTTCCTAATTTTGTATGGTGAAGTCAAGTGGCCTGAACTCTGGGCCAAGACCAAACCCAGGAAGAATCAGTGGGTTATGATGCAAAAAGCACTGGATATACATTCAAAGGATCTGGGTTCAAGTCTCAACTCTGCAACTTCTTGTGTGACCTGGAGTAACTTACCTCAGCTCTCTGGGCCTCAGTTTTCTAACATGTGAAATGATAGGACTGCATCTCTAATGCTCCTTTATAGCTATAGAACCCAAGTCCCACCATCTAAAGATAGCCATCTCTATCTGAATGATGAGATGTTTTGCCAAGTGGGGAAGAGCCACTGCCCCGGCCTGAGATTCCAGTTGAGCGTGATGCTCTCAAGACAGAAAGAGGGGAACTGAGACTGGGGCAACCTAAGGGTAATCAGGTCACCTGGGGTGGGCCACTTGAGTCAGCTTGTTCCTGGGGGGCCCGGGCTGGGTCTCCAGCCAAGGGCTCTGCAGCAGGGGTTGGCACCTGCTGGCCAGGTGGGGCCTCCTGGCATATCTCCTTCTTTTCTTCTGCCTTGACAGTGCAGTTCACCATGGTCCCAATGCCATCGGGTGCCAGCTGGGGAGAGATGGGGCTCCTCATGGACATCCTGTCAAAGAAAGGAAAGGAAAAATCAGAATGAGACTCATCTAAACTTAGAAGCCCAATGTCATAACCAATTTCCCCAACTTCTAACATACCACACATGGGCATCTAGTATCAGAAGTCTAAATTTGGTTTTCTGCCAAAAAGATAAGAAAGGGCAGCTGCCTACATACAAACTTTTCAACATCAGGACCTCTGGGGAGAGGGAAGGGAAGGGTTAAAATAAGCATTTTTTTTTTTTACACATACACACACACACACACACACACACACATACACACACACACACACAGAGTACCTACTATGTGCCAGGCACTATACTAAGCACTTTACAAATATTATTTTATTTAATCCTTACAACAACCCAGTGAGGTAATAATAATAATAATAATAATAATAATAATAATAATAATAATAATAATAATAATAATGAGAGCTAACATTTGGATAGCACCTACTATATGCCAGTTACTACACTAAGCACTTTACACTTATTATCTCATTTGATCCCTACAACAACCCTGAGAGATATGTGCTGTTATTATCCCCATTTTACAAATAAGGAAACTGAGGCAAACAGGTTAAGCAATTTGCCCAAAGTCACACAAGGGTCTGAGTCTGGATTTGAACTCAAGTCTTTCTGACTCAGACCTAACGCTCTATTCACTGTGCCTCCTTGCTGCTATTTCTCTTTCTGGATAAACTAGTTTATGAAAATTGAGGATAATCTTAGCTAATGACTCCTCCTCAACTTAATCTCCAATGCTTTGGTTTGGTTTAGTAGAAAGAACACTGGTTTTGTAAACAAAAAATCTAGGTTTGAATTGTAATTGTAAAGCTCTTAGCAAAGCTCCTGGCACATAGCAGGTATTTCATAAATGCTTATTCCCCCTCTCCCCTTAATTAGGAAAAAGAATGTCAAAGGTACAAAGGACCATCTAATCCACTACCCTCACTTTACACATGAGGAAACTGAGGCAAAGAGGAAGTTGAATGACTTGTCCAAGGTTACAGGTAAGTAACAGAAGAGATTGAACTTGAAATCTGGTGCTCTTTATCCAGCATCATAATATCTCCCTACCTACCAGGTAAGCCCTCAGTTTCTCCATTTCTAAAATGAGGAGACTGAGTTCTAGTGTGGAAAGTATTCTGGTATCCTCAAGTCCCTTCAGGGGGTCCTTGAAGTCAAGACTATTTTTACATTAATACTGAGACATTATTTGCCTATTAAAATACTTTCCCTTTTCCAACCACCTATCTGTCTGCTGTTGGATTTTTCTTCCTTCAACCAAAACAATACATTGCAACAGACTAAATACAGAAGTATTTAGAGAATCCAACTCTCTTCTATTAAGCCAGACATTAAGAGATTTGCAAAAATATGTAAAACAATGTCATCTTTTTAACTAATACTTTTTCATTTTGGAAAATGTATTTATTTTATGAAAATGTTACTGATGTTTGATGTGTATTGGGTCTATTATTTTCAAATGAATTAATAGTTTAAAAATTATCAGCTTTAATTTCAAATGTTGCATATATTAATAGATTTTCGGGCAGCTAGATGGCGTAGTGGATAGAGCCCTGGGCCTGAAATCAGAAAGACTCATCTTCCAGAGTTCAAATCTGACCTCAGACAATTACTAGCTGTGTGACCGCAGGCAAGTCACCTAATCTTATTTGCCTCAGTTTCCTCATCTGTAAAATGATCTGGAAAAGGAAATGGCAAACCCCTCCAGTGTCTCTGCCAAGAAAACCCCAAATGGGGTCATGACGAGTCGCATACAACTGTGAGTCGCATACAACTGTAACAACTGAACGACAATGACAACAAATCGATGGATTTAATTCACAAAACCAAAAGATCTTTAGGAAACACTCACTGCCTTTTTTTTCTCCTTAGAGACAAACTGGATAAAGTGACTTACCCAGGGTCACACAGCTAGTAAGTGTCTGTGGCGATACTTGAACTCTGGTCCTCCTATCTCCAAGACCAGTGCTTTATCCACTGGCTTGATCCTCAATAATTTTTTGAGAATGTCAAGGGATTCTGAGACCAAAGAGTTTGAAAACAGCTGGGTTAGATGATTTCTAAGATTCCTCTAACTCTGATAATACCATGACCCCCTTTTCCTAGGTACCATTTCTCTACCATTAGCTCGAACAATGATTGGCCCTACTGAGGTAACTTCTGTGGTGGATAGAGTGTCTTAATTCATATGATCCTGACTCTTATTGGCTGTGAGACCTTGGGCAGATCACCTACCCTCTCTGTACTTCAGTTTCCTCACCCATATAATAGGGATAAATAATATTCGTAAATACCGACCTCATGGGGGTTGTAGTGATACTCAAATAACATATTTAAACACTATAGAAAGTTCAAAATTTTGAAACACTATGTAAAGATGAGCTACAGTAATGTTATATATGTTTTCTCCAGGATTGGGTTCAAACATGCTACTGTCAGGCTAATGCCCCTGCTGCCCTCTGTCTCCTCTACAAACTCCCTCAATCTAGTTAGTTGGGGGGTCACAGTAGCAGATAAGACGTGACTTCTGTTTGGCATTCGAAGCCCTTCCGAACATAGGCCCCTATTCCGCCCTACGCCTTTCCAGTCTTTTCATACCTCACAGACCTCTCAGAATGCTTTTAACTAGGGACGCTGCCCTTTCTGTTCCTCAAAATGGCACTTCCGTCTCCCAAGACAGCACCTTTTCATCAGCATCCACTATGCCTGGAATGCTCTCCCTCCTATCTCTTCCAGTCCCAGCTAAAATCCCACCTTAAGTAGGTGGGATTCCTCAATCCGGCTTCGTTCTAGTGCCTAGCTTCTGTGATTATTCCCTATTTGTCCTGTGTATAGCTTATTTGAGCTTATTTATTTACTTGTCTCCCCAATTAGATTGTGAGTTCCTCTAGGGCAGGGCCTGTCTTTTTTGCATTTCTTTGTATTCCCAGCGCTTATAACAACAGCTGGCACCTGGTAGGTGCTTAATAACTGCTTATTGACTGACGGACTAACTGACTGATCTAGGCCTGACTGTTCTGCCCACCCATATTCCATCCCAATGTAACCAAAGAGGGGAGGGAGGTATGACATGGCAGGTCTGGGAAGGCTAGGGTACCTGGGGCCCATGCTCACTCAGGTGCACCAAGGGGGGCACAAATATGGGCACTTGTCCTCCTCCCCCAGAACCAGCAGCAGTGAATGGAACCCAGAAGCCCCCCACCCCCTAACTTTTTTTCCTTCCCCCCCCACCCCCACCCCAGGAGCCCTTAGTGACTCCAGGAAGCCATGAGGCCTCTGCCCATCCGGCAGGAGGGGAGCCCCCGCCCCCACCCCGAGCCAGCCAGCCAGCCAGGCCCCTGGGGGTGGGGGGAGGACTGCAAGGCTGGGGGTGGGGTAGGGTGGGGAGTGGAGGGGGTAGGGGGAGGCCGGGGAAGGGGTGTTCTCCTGAAGCTCAGGGCAGTAATTACATAACAAACAAACCCCAGGCTCAAGCTGTGAATTAATCAAACCGCTGAAAATAAAACCTTCCTCTCAGGAACTTCAGACAAAAGAAACGAAAACAACCGGGCTGGCTGGGAAATGAAAAGGCAGCGGGCGCTGAAAGGGGGACAAAAGGAAATCAGACAATAGGGTGTTGGACAAAAGCAATAAAGCCAGGGGAAGTGTGACAGGAGAACAATGGGGGCCTGTGTGTTTCTGATCCGAGCCTGGGGCTTTTTATCTCCAGTGCCGGCCCTCTTCCAAACCCACCACTTGGCTCTCTGGGTGATTGGGTTTCCTCCTTTCTCGGGGGCTTGGCCTCGGTTTTTCCCCAGCTCTGGTGGGTCCCCGCCCCCAAGTCCCGGCCAGTCTCTGGCTCTCCCTCCTCCCCTCTCCCAGTCAGTGGCCTCTTCCTTCTTCTTCTTTCATGTGGGACCCAGCAGGTCCAGTTAAGAGGTGATGGGAACCCCTCCCCAACAGACACATAAACACACACACACACACACACACAACTGCTTTCCAACTTCAACACTAAAATCCATGGCCCTTCTATGGGAGGGCTTAGTGCAGGGTTGGGGAGCCTGTGGCCTTGAGGCCACATGTGGCCCTCTAGGTCATCAAGTGCGGAACTTTGACGGAATCCAAACTTCACTACGTAGGAAGGGCTGCACTTGAGGACCTAGAGGCCCACATGTGGCCTCAAGGCCGCAGGCTCCCCATCCCTACCTTAGTGCATAAGAAACCTTTGAGTCTCTGTATCCTCGGATGGAGAAGCTGTTTATGTATTCTGCAGTAAAAAGAGCATATGGATTCCAATCCTGATTCTGCCACCAGATGACTTGGGCAAATCATTTCCTATCCGTGGGCTTCCTCTTCAGCAAGAAGGCAGGGGTTAAACCAGGTGATTCCTAAGGTCCTTCTAGCTCTGACATGCTGTATTATTCTATAATTTTCGAAGTTGTGTTTGTTTGTCAAGGGGTTACCCTGAATTTCCTAGGAAAACACTGACCATCTTGGCCTTCTTGCCCTATTGAGTCCTAGAATACCTGGGAACTCGTGCACTTTACAATCCTGGGAGTGAAGGTGGCCACTCCTACCCAACAGTTAAATGTTACATGCAAGGCAGTGTTGTAGATTCTGAGGATGTGAAGATAGAAACCATCCCTGCCCTCAAGGAGCTTACATTCTATAAGGGTAGAGGAGGAGGGAGAAGGACATTGAAGAGAGGAGGCCTCATCATCTAAGTCCAACCAGTTCATTTTTATAGATAAGTAGACAGCTCTACAGAGGCAAGACTTGTCCAGTACAAGGTCATACAGGATACTGCAAAGCCAAGAATTGAACCTACGTCTTAATTCTCAGCTGGCCTAGTGTTCTTTCTACCACATCACATAGGTTTTGGTTTTGTTTTTAGAGGCAATCAAGGTTAAGTGACTTGCCCAGGGTCACACAGCTACTAGGTGTCTAAGGCCAGATTCGAACTTAGGTCAGTCCTCTTAATTCCAGGACCA